AATGGAGTTTCAAAGATTGTCGTCTGGATATCCTCGTTCATTTTACAAGGTAATTTATTCAATTTAAAATTATTTTCTGCTCTGAAATCCTAATTATTATAATCGTACATTTAAGCCTCTGAGTAATTTCTGAGGTAATAAAATAGATGATGTAATTATTGTACAAAGAATCTGGGGGGATTAGGCGAGCCATATGCCCACGCCAGGGCAGGTAAAATATCAAATAAAAAATTCTTACCAATTCCACTTTTTGTTAAATTTAGGGGTTATTTATAACCAAGTGCATACCATAAAGATAAAACCTGAATCAAATGACTTAGAAATTGATTGTAATTAACCCATCAAAATGGCAACACGCTTTAGTAACCGTAAAAATGATAGAAATGGAAAGTTAAAACTTTGTTTTTTACATAGAGTGGGTCTTCGTACCATTTTTTAGTAAACAAATATTGAAAGGGTATGGACAAATGTATCTCTTACCATTTTCAAAAAAATGGTACGAAGACCCACTCTATATAAAAAAGTTAGTTTTCCTACTTAAATTTCGGAACATATTCTCTAAAACTCTAAGTCCAATGTGTGTTTGATATACATATAGAACTATTTGTTATTTAAAGAGCAGTATTTGTGAGACCTCATGGCTCAGTGGTCATAGCTGTAGTGTTAAAGTACCCAGTTATATGTCGCGAGTGTTCGAATCACGATTTTTTAAACTTCAGGTTAAAATTAATTTTATAAATATATTTTTTCACTAAAAAACAAAATAAATAAATAAGATAATGAATTTATGTACGTTCATTGAATATATTTCCTTTACTAAACAAGTTTACAAGATAATTATACATGTATAACATTTTGAATTCATTCAGTTCTTCATACATTACACGATTGAAATGTAAACAATCATGGGTAGACCAGGACGATATGACTGTTCTGTATGCAAAAACAGTTAAAGGAAAGGTAAAACCATCACCAAACTTCTGAAAACATATTTGATAGAACAATTAACACGCAGTATGAAAAGCATCGCATTTACGAGTACTGCAAGGTTTAACCGTCATGTGGGCAGTGCTGTACAAAGTTTAAATGTTTAGGGAATCGTACGACTTTGAAATTTCCGATATGCTTACAGAGCGACAAAATCTGCGTGGGCATTTGACGCGCCTTATTCCCCCAGATTCTTTACTTTCTCTACGAACTCTACATGGCATTGTCACTATAATGTCAGTTTAAAAAGACTTTTTTTTTAAAATTCATGTTAAGGCATTTGATACAGTTGGCGAAATAAAGGGCCCTATAGCATCCATTTGTGGTGTTCCTCGCCACTGTGTAGACATCGTTGATCTTGAGGAGGGGCTAATGTACGAAAATAGTAGAGGCATCCTGAACCTTCCTCGCCCTATCCAAGTGATGGTCGGGGCTAATGAGAGGCGTATTCCATTTTACCTAGTGACGACTGAAGTTGATATGATAGAGCAGGACCCTGATGACGAGGAACCAAGGCTTAAGATGTCATGTGGACATGCTATTAGTAAGTACTCAAAATCATTAAAGTTACACTGTAAATATACAGCAACTTTCGCCACGGTTCGTAAATTTCGTAATCAGTATGCATTGTGTTGGTTATTTTTTCATAACAGAGAGTTCTTTTTATACATTTATTTTGGAAATAAAGGGAATAAAATTGCCTACACATTCTTTTATGCAAGAACCCAGAAGTTGTAGCCTTATAGTTTGATATTGGATTTGAAACTGTTCACCTAACATGTTGATTCATTTTGCAGCACCATACAACTTATTTGGACACATGAAACATACGCTGATGAACAAAGTTAGCCATTCTGTTTGCTGCCTTACTCCAGGTTGTCTTCAAGAATGGAGCTTTCGAGAAGTAGCACAGAAAGCTGATATGACAGACGATGAAAGGATTTTCTTTGAATATAAAATATCTTTAAATTCTATTCTTCAAGACAACGGTGAGACATCTGAATGTCCGAATTGTGGCCAATTTTGTCAACGTCAACAAAATACCAAAGCTGTTCATTGTACCCGCTGTGTATCAAAGGGATTTGATAAACAGTTTGATTTTTGCTGGGATTGTAAATCTCCATGGGTTCCAAATCATATCTGTGGAAACCGAGACCTGGAAGCTATACAAAAAATCCTAAATGACGCACCAAAGAAAACTTTAGATTATTCCAAAATTGAGAATGTGCCTTCAAAAAGACTTTGTCCAGGCTGCAAAACTTTAATTGAACATGAAAAACTTTGCAAACAAATGACATGTCCTGGTTGTAAAATTGATTTTTGTTTTTCTTGTTTGACAATATGCACGACCGGAAGTCTACGATGTTCAGGATATAATCAACATTGTAATGTAGCTCCTGTGCAGAACGTGTTTTTCTGAACTTCATAGCATTCAATTGAATTGGACGACAAAAAAATCATACCTATTGTTATCTTTCTTGCCAATAACTTCACTTAAAATGTCTCAGCAACATACAATAGCAATAAATATCATTTATATGCTTAGTAAAATCTATAATATAGATTTTTATATATTCAAGCCTGAAAAGCAAATTGCATTAAATATACTGTCCCATTGCACTTGTAAGATAATGGGCATTTCATTTGGGAGCTCAAAGAACACATTACCTCAAATATTCATATGATTCTTCCTGCTTTAGTTAATATATATCTAATAAATAAATTTATAAAATAAAAAAGTATTTGTGTTGAATAAAATAATATTGGTGCAGTTAATTGTAAAGACTAACTATGCATACAAGATATATCTTTGAACAGTCAATACCATTTTAGGTCAGGAAATATCATAGGTGAGATTAAGTGTCATGGAGAAAAAAATATCACCTGTCCAATTAGGCAGATGGAGTATTTAAACTTTTGCTGCATGATTTTTTCTTGTCTTATAAGGCTGCCACAATGAGTTGTGACCGCGCCTCGCAAACACTGTCATATGAATGATAGAAATATAACAAATCAAATTTTGGTAGACTCGTGGACTCCAAATAAAAGTCCTTCTGCTCTAGTATGAAATCTGAATTTAGATGTATAAATATTAATTGCAAGCAAACAAGTTTTCCTAAAGTCTGTTATAAATGCAATTTTTAATTTTAAAGCATCAAAACAATAAATTAAAAACAAAGAAGTCAGTTCACTTTATGCATAAAATGGCCATGTAGTTATACCAATTGACTGATCAACACTTGATTTTTAATCTGAAGCATTAAATCAAATACAGATTTAGTGCTTTCATATCATATTAAAATTTTTCTCCTAAAAGTCCTGGTCTTGGAGAACAGGCTTTATGAAATGTTCTTGAATTTCTAGGTAAACAGGTTTAATTGAGTACTTCAAGGGAAGAAAAATACTATGAGTGCACTCTCTGATCTAAAAAATAAAAACTGTCTTATACTTCTCAAAAACGGTTTTATCATATATGAGTTGCATATTTTAGACCAGAGGTTGCGCTCTATATCAAATATTGAAAAATACCTTTAAAAATTGGCCGTTTTTGTACACTTTTTCAGAATACGAGGAAATTGACGCAATTTGTGACGTCATAATGCATTGACTAGCTAGAAAATTACGTCATTTTTGATAGATACGCAGTTACCAAAGATCTAAGGGATATTCAATGCATTGTTAACTAAAACTATGTAGTTGCAGATTTTCAGAAATACACAGGGCCAAATAAGGCAAAGGTGAACCTTGTTCTTTATTGAGACAACAAAAAATTGATTTTGATTATCTTGAAATCTTTGTAAAATTTGATAATAAACAATTGCAGGTTCATGAAATATGCAAATTCACATGGCCAGGTTCTTGTCAATTAAATCTATAGGACTTTAAAAAAAACCAACTAAATATGTAGTTTCATTTCACAATGAAATGTAAATTTCAGTAATCATCGTCTAGTTTGTGGAGTGTTTGTGGGGCATGCTAGGGACATCAACAATAGCTAGAAACGTGGGATAATGTCACCATAACAGGTTTCGCCCTTTGTGTAAATTATCCCATGTACCCAACAATCGTTGATGCCCTGACATGCCCAACAATCTAGATAGTGAGTCCTTAATACACATCTCGAGAACAACATTGAATTTTCGTCAATATCTTACAATAGAGATGTTTCTGAATATGAATCGAATCCGAATCTGAATATGAATCTGAATCGGTGAGATCCCGATCCCGATTCAAAAACGAAGAAAAACATTTGAAAAAGATATTTCCTAATTACGCTATTAAAATATGTTGGAACAATAAGGAAAATAAACACTGGATGGTATTTATACTTTTGTCACTGAGATTTTTCTTGTTATAAATGGGACTAGTCAAATTCTATAGACCGAATAACAAAACAGGTTATCCTTTCAATTCACGGGAAAACCTGCTCGTGAAGTATTGTTGTATTTTTCATTGGCTTACATTATTTTTTCCTCGCAAGAATCGTGATCTGGACCTTAATTTATGTAAATGTCTTCATACGAGTCATCTTATATATATTTTATATGTATACGTTATTGAAAATATGTCAGAATTTTTTTCAACAACCCCATGGCCATGGACTTTCTCGCAGCCCACATAATTGTCTAAAGTTTTCGGTCATTGACATTGATACATGTACATGTATCTACAAGTTTCTAGTTGAAACGCTTCCTTTCATTTCTCGAAAAATGTCCTTGCTATAATGTGTACATGTAGTAATTAAAAAAAACTTTAAGTTGTCTCCCACATCTTCAAGTTTTTTGACTGCCTCCTCCTGTCTTCGTTGAGCAGTTGAACACATTTCTCAATATAGTAACGAAGATCTATTGAGTTAAAATGCAATAATACAAAACTGGTAGGTTTCGTATGAACTGATAAGATACTAATTACTACATCAGGTTTGAAATATACGTTATCTGTAGAATGCAACTACATTATCGGAGCGACTGAACAAAACATTCCTAACGAGGCTAAAACTCTAAAAAGTTTGTATATTTAGGACAAACTGTAATTTTGATAGGATTATATTATAAAGTATATATTAAATTTGGACGTCTTGAACTGATAAGACGATCAGGAGCGATCAAGTGAGCAAAGTGAGAAAGTAGCTCCCCCCGATTTTTTGAGTCATAAAATTGTATGCTATAAAGCAAACAAATATGAACTTCTCAACCCCTACCTTGGGAAACACGTATCTCTCGTAATATATGCTCGAAGGGAATTACAAAAACCCACATGGATAAGAAAAAAAAATCACACCTGCCTCTGGGAGTTTATTAATAGCCCCCCCCCCCCCCCCGCGTTCCTTAAGAAAAATCCCTGGTTCACGTTTGACACTTCAAACACACTCCCTAGCCCACGAGAAAAAAAATCTAGCTAACTTGATAGACTTATTTTTTCACTGTGTTACATCCATTTAAATCATAAACTTATTTCTTGCAGGATATTTGTTGTATTTGTGTGTGTGTGTGTGTGTGGGGGGGGGGGGGGGGGGGGGGGGCACAAACACATACATGTAAATGATTTTATACAGGTTATTGATTGATATAACAAAGACAAATCTTCAGTAATCATATTCTCAGTGTAAAATGTTTAAAAATGTCTATTTTCAAATAGGGATCGGAATCCCTCCGATTCAGAATCGTTTCATATTCATTTTCAGATTCGGATTCGTTTCATATTCAGAAACATCTCTAATACAAACCGTTTTAGTTACTGACAATTTATTCAAACCATTTTATGATTACATGTATTCAACAGTAATGGAAAATGATAGATTGCAGCGATAAATTCATTTTTAATGTGTCAACTTTTAATTTCTAGTGAACAAATAACAAATCAACAACGAACAATATACATAACCTATTATTTCTCATGTACATTGATTAAAACGTGTCTTGAGTAGGGCATATATAATTACATGTATATAATAGTTTTAATATGGGGTTTTATATAACTTTTATGTAACTTTTCACTATGTTCTACTTCATCTGTTTGAAAACAGTGATACATAAAACAGATAGATAGAGTGCTTCATTACATTGTAACGTAAATACTTTTACTCAAAGTTTTCATTTTGCTATAGAACATGCTTTTATGCAATAAAACATTCTTATACAGTGTGCTTATTTTTCAACAAATATAACCTGTGCATAAAAATTTAACTTGTAAAAAAAACGACGTATAATACAAATTCTATACTTATTTCGAATTCTCCATACATGCCTCTTAATACATAATGTTTCAAAAATTGATTTCATTTAAAAGATAAATTATTCATTTTTATTCCGCTACTCAATGCGATTTTAAGGTACATATATGGAGGACAACCGCATAACAAAACATATTTTCTTGTGAGAATTAAATCAATGTAATAAAAATAGCTGGACTTTGCAAATTAGATTTCTATTTGAATTGGTGAATTCTGAACATGTTAATCATATTAGGTTATTATTGCTTGACATAGTTGAATTTGAACTAGATTTGAACTAAGATTACTTGTAAATTATTAGGCTGAATGGCTAGTAAAGATAAAACAACTACCCAGTTTACGTATGTATAAAGATTTCAAAACACATTTTAATACTAAAAACAACGTAGGAAATATTCCAACATTTCAAAAATCTATTCTTGCTCAATTTAAATGTGGAATATTACCAATAAGAAATAAAACTCGGAGATAATTTTAAGGAGAATCACTAGAAGATAGATGATGTGTTCTAAATATGAATTAGAAGACGAATACCACTTTTTATTAAATTGAAGAGAATATTCAAATTATTTTCTACCATTAAATGCAACTCAACTTTTTCCTTGTCAGATTAAGAGTGAAATTTTCCTTTTAACAAATTTTCCTAGGCTGACCTCAAATATTTATACCTTTCATACAAGCACAGGCAATCTCTGCAGTATAAGAGTTTTAAGGTTCCTTAAAATACATGTACTTTATGTATATTGATAATGTATTTATTTCTCAAATGTTGGAATTATCGCTCTTGCGATGCACTCCAGCTTAATTTCAATAGCATCTTCTTATATGGAAAGGTATGTGAGTGCTGATAGATATAAAAAAAAAATAGAATCGATTCGCGGGAAACTGAAGGTACGTCTCTTTCAAGATAGCGTGGGTCGCCACTTTCTTTCAAGAAGCCGAACAATTAACTCACTGGAAATTTTTCTACGAATTTTATTTACCTCCACCACTTCCTTTTTTAATGAATAAATCCATATTTCATTTGTTTCTGTATTATGGTTTCAGACTACAATGTATAGATTGCTTTAAAATTATGTAATCATGTACATCATTAATGGGAAAATTAATGGGAATTATTTATTAATATTCATTAAAATAGTCTTGGGGTAAATAATCTAATATTCATAATTGCATATCAAATTTTAATTAGTTTATGATTACATAACCATTTATTGAGATTTACATTCATTTTATCATTTTATGTTATTAAAATTTGGGTTATTAATAAAGTTACAGTGGTGGCAGAGTGCAACGTAACTTATTGTGTCTGTGTCATGTATGAATATGTATAAGATGGGGGGCTCAGGAGGTTAAGAATGGTAAATTACATGAACGGAGGAAATGCATACTTATTGAATATACATGAAAGAATGCTATATTGGAATGTTGGGATTCGAACATTGTCAATTATGGATTAAAAAAAAAACATTATGCGTAATACTTGTGCATATTTTTTTTTCATTTACGAGGGCTTTCCAAAAATTTAGTGGACAATGACGTTTTGTGTTAAAATAAATGATTCTAAATGCATCTATTTATATCAAAATATTTCTAATGAAAAACCAAGTCAGAATGATTTATTTTTTATTGATGATACTTAATATTTTTGTAGACATCGAGGTGTTTAAAGATCGCAGATTGAGCGCACAGGCCAGTCTGACGTTAAGCTAATTTCAGTATAACGTCAAACATATGGATTTCGACTTAACACATGTTCATGGACACACACTATTTTTCTTTTTTTTTAAAGCACAACGCACTTCCAAGTGCTAGCAATTATCTTTAAGTATAGATTATAATTTATTCAATTTTTAAAATTCAGAACAATGGACAATAATTTATGAGCGTCATCTAAATGAACAATTTGTATACACAAACATCACAGTTCAGTCCGACTCTGCACTAGATTGATAACAACGTCATGAATAGAGATCTTCATTTTCAGTAGATTACATGTGTTTTAAATTCTTGCATTGTCTTCAAATTTGTACACACGTTGAAAAATCGTATATACCAATCTCAATTCAATACATTTAATATATTTCAATAATTTTGAGTTGTTCTTTTTTCCAAATATGTTGTCTCTTACGTCGTTTCAACCGTATTAAAACTTAATTTTTTTGATCGGACGCTGCCCCGTGCCGCGTTTTTGTCAAGTTTTGAAACACATTTATTAGGGTTTTTGTTTAGTATTTGTACTGTCGATATAGTATGCGATACTTAAGATATCATAAAATGATTATAGCCTCTTTATATATGTTACATTAAATTTTTATTAATTTTTGACTTGTTTTCTATAGAAAGTAATCACCTGAATCCGAACACTTTGTATCAGAGTTTATGTTTTTTTAACCTTGGTCCGTGCGCACTACATGTATCTGCGATCTTTAAAATCTGGATTTTTTCAAAAAATATTACGTTCCATCAATAAAGATTAAATCAATCTTACTTGTTTTTTCATAAGAAATATTTTGATATACAATAGATGCGTATAGAACCATATATTTTCACAAACACGTCATTGTCCACGAACTTTTTGGACAACCCTCGTACATGTATTCTTTGTTAAAAGTGACATATAGGTCCGACGGGCCGGATGTTTGGAGATAAGTTGTTGTATTTAATGTTTCTCATTGTATTGTACTGTATAACATATGTCACTATAATAAACGATTTACTTATTTACTTTTACTTACTTACTTACTACATAATCATTGATACATGTCAAAATATGGTGCGCATATTTTGCAATACCTCTATAGAGAAATCTGATTTGAAAAAATCGATGTACTGAGGCAATAAAGGGAAACCTGACAATCACAAAATCAAATGATTTTTAATTTTTTAACAATTAACTTGTACATGCATATATTCTACTACAATGTAATACAATACAAGTTCTTGACTTCAGAATAAGATTATTCAATCAAAGTTAATTAATATACTTATATTGAGAAAAACGTCCTTTTTCTAATGCATTCCAGTAATCATGATTTCTTTCATTTACTATAAATTATTTAAAAATATGGACAAAATCAAGCTTAAACATGATTTTGATGTCAAGTCTAAACCCAAGTACCCGCACAAAAACTTAAACTTTAACTTAATTTATCTTAATTCTTGCAATACTACAGTATTATTTTTTTCTAACTTTCAATGTAAAAGAAATAAAAAAAACACACAAAAAACAGTTTTATGTGAACAAAATATGTGCATTATTTCAGGAGGTTTAAATGTTTGAGTTTGGACTTTACCAAATTTTATTATGATTACACTTTTGAGCCATATTTTTCGTAAAACAAAAGGTAAGCTTCGCATTTTCGAACCTCTTCTAAACTGACGTCTTTTACATACGAATCATCGCATAAATTCCATTTTTGATTACCATGCCTTCTGACATAGCAGATGTAATGACCGCTTCTTTCAGATCCAATGTGTTCGACAACGCTAAATAATCTGTAATGCTTCAATGCTTCTTTTAATTCTTTCTGAAATATGAAAAAAAATTAATTGACAAGAATATTCAAATTACACAAATTCTTTTTTATTTTAATTGCTTTCAATGATACTATCACTCTCTCTGTTTTTATGCATGCATAAATATGTTTACAATATTAAGGTTTTGGGGTATTGATATATTTTCGAGAATGACTTTCAGCTTCTTATCTTTAAGAAAACTACGATGTTTAATAATATATAAATTTTTATCCATTTGATGTTTATTAAATGCATTTTATGCTGTTTTGTCCAAGTATTCTTATTTTTGCTTAAACCTTTTCGAACCCTTAGTCAAACTTAAACGTCTTAATTTTGTTTACATGTTTGTATGATATTTTGAGGGGAAAAAAGCATATTCATTTCTATTATAGATATTATGTCTTGAATGCTAAAATTTTCCCCCTGTCCCAACTCAAAGAATATTTGAACAACATTAATTCTTTTTAACGACAAAACTAATATTTTATATAGATCTGAAATATTCATACGTACCGGTGCCCTTAAACTTTCGAAGTTTTCCCAAAAATCAATATGACTCCTGTTCCTCAGAAATGCTGAATTACTCGCCTATAAAAATTAAGAATTTCTGCTCAAAATTTTTTTCTGTGCATGTGTACACACATGAGCGTTCATACACCTCAAAACCAATACGTCGTGCTTAAAATGTGCGTCAGATAAAAAGAGAAATTGTTGAAGAAGTTTCCCACATTTCGATTAAGCATTTCAAATCCCCTACAGCACATAACTTATAAATTTCAGATTGAGTTAAGAGTTATAGTTTAATAACTGTAACTATGTGTGCAAACAAATTGGGTAACGCGCGTTAGCTTATATTTATATTTTCTATTGACTGCAAATGTGATTTATAATTTAACACATAAGTATTGTCCTTCGTACATGTATAGGCTACAGTTAATGTAACAGCTACATGTAACATAACAGCTTTTGGTCATGTGAGCGCGATTTTTTTTAATTTTCGTTTTTGACGTTGCACTTCCTAGTCGTTCAAAAATGATGACGTCCAATTTAAACGCATGCTTAAACCTTTGGCACCCCGTCCGTGTTATAGTGATTTGAATACAATATATATTTTAATTCAATTTTTGTGCCAAAAACATATGCAATGTAAATATTTTTGTATATTCCTTCAATCTTAGAATATTTAAAGCAAAAGAATCTAAGAAAAATGAGTAAAAAGGATGTAAACGCTTAAACTTTAGAATAAAGTGGTTGTTCTCTAACTTAATCATAATGCAAAGTGAAGCCAAACAGTTTTACAGCTGTTAAAGGTAAATCTTAGATATTTATATAATTGTTTATGGTGGCTCAAATTTGCAAAAAGACTTGGGGTTAGCTTGATGCTATTTGAGCAAAGGTACAATAAATTTGTTTATTTTTTACCCTTTTAGCACTTCTGTTTAAGTTTTTGCCAAATCGTTTTTGCCTAAATATTATCGTTCAAGATATTCATGACAATGCATGTTAATATGACCCTAGTTTATAAAAGTTAAACACTGTTTAGGAGGATGCATCCTGTTATCAAAAATATTATGAATTTTATGCAAGTGTACTTTTTATATCTACACACATATAGCTTAATAAAAAATAAAAACATAAATGGGGGACGATACCCTTCTTTCAGCACCACAGAGCAATAAATACAATTAATTTGAGATTTTTGCTGAACTAAAAGCACTTGAATAACTTGTTTTAGGAGAAACATAAAAACAAAAAAAACACCGAAAAACAAATACCTCTTCTAATTTACATATCTGAAGAACCAAAACATCTGGGAAAGTTGCTATCATTATTTCCTTTGTAATTTCATTTGATCCTGAAAAAAGAAATAACTTTTTTTAAGAATTGGATTAAATCTTTCTATAAAACAAGAGGCCCATGGGCCTTATAGGTCAACTGAGTATCATGTAAAAACTTTCCAGTGATTGTATTTGGTTCGTGTTTTAAGGTTTTCAATCCCTAATAGGAAGAAATTCAATGAAATTGAAAACATAACATATGTTGGCATTGAATATACTCAGTTTATTTAGACATACTTCCCATTTATTACTATAAGTATGTTTAATGGGATGTGTCCTAATTCATGACCTTGAATTTTTGTAAGAGTTATCTCCCCTTTTTTTAATTAATAAAGAAAATGAATTAACAAAAAATTTAGCTGGTAAAAGAATTGTTTTTAATTATCATTCTATTTTTAATATTTCAATGCATCTTTCAACCACAGGATTTATTGATATTCAAATTATTTGAATTTTTATTTTGAAAAAACGCTTTTCCCCATAGACTTCAATGCCACCTTTGTTAATTAACTACTGCCTAATTAATGAAATTTTTGAAAATTTCTCGTGGGCAATCCTTTTCCACTATAAAATGCTTTAGGGATTGAAATCCTTAATCCAAAAGCCATGAAATTCACAAATTTTGAAAGAGGCACCATTGCTTATCAAAGGGCAGATTTCAAAGCATTAATTTATTTTTAGTCAAAGTACCCCCCTGGTACCCCTGACCCAGCGGCCCTGAAATTATCTATTTTGAAAGAGGCCCCTTTTTCATTATAAGGCCAGGATTTTTTTATGTTTAGTTATGAACATGAGAATAAAAAAGTCCCGAAGGAGAAGGAAATAAATTTTTTTTTTGATAAATCAATTATTAACATTTGTTCATTCTTTTTTTATCATATGCTATTTAATAGGCTCCTTACCACTGGACACATAATGCTTACAAATAGGAAAGTAAAACATTAATTGCTTATTTCATCATCTACCAGTTTGGGCCAGTTATATAAATTTTGTGATGTTGGTCAAAATATATTTTTAAAAATTAATTCTTTAAAAGTCTTTCAATATATCTTAATTTTTTAAATATGTGTTAGGTGAATGTGTAGACATTGTTCTAAAATTTACTTGATGCCTAAAACTATAATTCCTATCATAAAACAGACAGGGAGTATTTGGGAGTAGGGTGAACATTTTTTCAATTAAGTTTAAAATAATTTTTCTGGCTGATAGAAATGATACTACATGCCTGTATATATTTGTATATTCTTGCCTTTTAATAGTTGATTTTTTTTCTATTTCTTCAGGTTATTGTTTATTTCTTCCTCAAATGGACTTAACTTCTCCCATAGTTTTATTCATTACATCTGATGCATAAGTAAACCTTTTCTGAAGAATGATGCTTAGACTGTAAGCTATAACATAGACCTAAACAATGTCGCTGGCAATATGCAATAACTATCACGGGCAGTTTAAAACCTGAAAATTGAAAACCTTGAGCGGAGGGTTTGTAAAACTGAAAATGAAATAATTCCTGGCCTTAAATATGTAATTAGATCATTAGCATATTAACCAGGAGCAAAGGATAAGATGTTCAAAGAATTCATGCATTTCACTCTATAATCATTAGAGCCCCACCCTAAAACAAGAACCACTGACCCTGGGGCCAAAAATTTCACAATTTTGGTATAGGCACTCTTGCTCATCATAACAATATACTTAGTTAGTTTATTTAAAACCCAGGAGCAGAGAAGAAGATTTTCAAAGAATACATGTATATTCACTATATAATCATAGAGCCCCGCCCTAACACCAGAACCCCTGACCCTAGGGCCATAAAATTCACAATTTTGGTAGAGGCACTCCTGCTTATCATAACTACTAGTATGTACTTAGTTGGTTTATTTAATACCCAGGAGCAGAGAAGAAGATTTTCAAAGAAATAATGCATTTAAGCCCCGCCCTAGCACTAGAACCCCAGACCCCAGGGCCATGAATTTCACAATTTCGGTAGAGGACTCATTGCTGATTACAATCATGCAAACAGTTTGACTGCTTGATGTCCAGGAGTAAAGAAGAAGATTTTTAAAGATTGCATTAATTTTAGTGGTTTTGGCCCCATCCCTCATGATCATGAAATTCACAATTTTTATTCCCCTTCAGCCATAGATGCTTTGTGCCAAATTTGGTTGAAATTGGTTCATTGGTGCAGAGAAGAAGCTGAAAATGTTCAAATGTTAACACACGACGCACAACACACGACGCACGACGACGGACAAAAACAGATAGCAATAGGTCACCTGAGTTTACTCAGGTGACCTAAAAATAATATTCATTTAATGTATTTTCAACGTCGGAAGTAATTTAAATATTCAACTTATAAACTCGGATTGAATAAAATATTTTTTGTCTTGAATTGAAAAAAAGTAAGGAATTAATCCTTTCTCTGTATTCATTCTTTACTTTTTTGTTGTATTTGTTGCCTTAAAAATCATCATCGACATTTCCAATGCTTTTAAATTTCTCAATGTACATAATTTGCTCATTTTGGATTATTACTGTACTGATTATTCTACTTATGTTTGAAAAATACACGAAAATAGAATACAGTTTTGTAGTGTTTTTATGGTTTCTTACCGCAAAATGAACAAGGAATGCCATCAATATTCTCTTTACTAAGAAATCCTCTCAAACAAGAGCCCAATGTTACCTTCTGCAATTTCAATATGTTTATTGTGCCATTTTTGTATTGTCATATGTTTAATATGGTTTGATATTAAGTAGGAAATAGAAACATTAGCTTATTTTATGGAAAGAAATTAATTAAAAATCGACATTGAGAGTTGCATAGGGGATTTTTTAACTTTTGTTGCAAATGAAATGATAAACTTGACCGCATAAAACAAACATTTACATTTATCATCAATTTTGTTTTATATGTAAAGGACATTATTGTCGTTATGTTCCGGGCATTTTCTGTAGGAGGTTTGCAAAAGTTTTTTGTTCATGATTAAACGCATGATTAAGATATGAATGATGTATTACATACCCCCTTTTGTCTCAAAGACTCTGTCACTGGTAAAGGAAGGCTAAAATATGATTCTCCTTCAAAGAATTCATCCTGCAATACATGTATATAAAAAAAAATATTTTCGGTGAATGAATGCATTTTGTATGTAATTTTTTAATGAATAAAGAAACAGTTGATTTAAATGAACAACATTCAACATGCTTATATCTAGTGGGTGTGGCGCGTGTTTGCCAGATACATATTATTTTATTTTTTACTAAAACCAACGCAATTTGTTTTCAATCCATCAAATTGAAATTAGACAAAGATGAAGAAATGAAGCCTTTGAAAGTATTACAAAAATACTTTTAAAGTATTCTTTTCTAATACTTTCAATAATGCATTCCCTGAAACGTTCTAATTTCCCATCTGAACGGTGAAGGAATGCTGAACGAACGGTGAACCAACGCAGAGTGAATGATGAGTGAACGATGTGCCAAAGGTGAACGCAACTTGGTGAACCATGTGTGAACAATGAGTGAACACAGAACGCGAACGGAGCGCGAACGCGAGCGCAAAGTGAACGGTTAACAAACGGTGAACGCAAGATGAATGACTTATTCGGAATGCCTCTGACCTTTTCCTTGCATTGAAATTATTCTATTATTCTATAAATCTAATTTTAGGTTCTAAAATATAAATAAATGCTAGATAAATAAACAAGAGGCCCACGGGCCTTATAGGTCACCCGTGTATTGTGTAACAACTTTCAAACAATTAAATTTGGTTCGTGTTTTAAACCAGAGGTTTACAATTTACAATTCTGAAAGAGGCACCATGGTTAATCATAATTATTTAACTTAGCATGCTTACTCTATTTACTTAATACCCAGAGGTAGATCAGAGTAACAAAGAGAAAATGCACTTCCACTTTAAACCCAGTTGTGCACCTCACCCTAAAGGAACCACTGACCCATGGGCCACATATTTCAAAATTTTGCAAATGTTATCATAAAATGGTTGATTAATACCAAAGAGCAGATTTCAAAGCATCAATTTATTTTCAGACTATGTAACCCCCCCCCCCCTCCCTCTGACCCTGGGGGCATAAAAAAAACACTTTGATAGATGCACCTTTCTTCATCATAGATATATATATATTTGGATCATTTAGCATAAAACCCAGAAGCAAAGGAAAATATTTTCAAAGAATTTATTTTTACTATATAATCAATAGAGCCCCGCCATAACACCAGAACCCCTAACCCTGGGTCATAAAATTCACAATTTTGGAAAAGGCACTCTTGCTCATCAAAACTATGTGTTTAGTTAGTTTATTTAATACCAAGGACCAGAGAAGAAGATTTTCAATGAATAATGAATTTTCACTATATAATCAATAGACCCCGCCCTAACACCAGAACCCCTGACCCTGGGGCCATAAAATTCACAAATCTGGAAGAAGCACTCATGCTCATCATAATTTTGAGCTTAGTTAGTTTATTTAATACCCAGGGGTAGATAAGAAGATTTTCAAAGAATAAATGCATTTTCACTGTATAATCAATAGAGACCCGCCCCAACACCAGAATCCCTGACCCTGGGGCCATAAAATTCACAAATCTGCAAGAGGCACTCTTGCTCATCATAACTATGTGCTAGGTTAGTTTATCTAATTCTTAGGAGCAGAGAAGAAGATTTTCAAAGAAATAATGCATTTTCACTGTATAATCTATAGAGCCCCACCCTAACACCAGAACCCCTGACCCTGGGGCCATAAAATTCTCAAATCTTGAAGAGGCACTCATGCTCATCATAATTATGTGCTTAGTTATTTTATTTAATACTTAGGAGCAGTGAAGAAGATTTTCAAAGAAATAAATGCATTTTTACTATATAATCTTTAGAGCCCCGCCCTAACACCAGAACCCCTGGCCCTGGGGCCATAAAATTCACAAATCTGGAAGAGGCACTCTTGCTCATCATAATTATGTGCTTAGTTATTTTATTTAATACTTAGGAGCAGTGAAGAAGATTTTCAAAGAAATAAATGCATTTTTACTATATAATCTATAGAGCCCCGCCCTAACACCAGAACCCCTGGCCCTGGGGCCATAAAATTCACAAATCTGGAAGAGGCACTCTTGCTCATCATAATTATGTGCTAAGTTAGTTTATTTAATACCCATGAGCAGAGAAGAAGATTTTCAAAGAAATAATGCATTTTCACTATATAATCTATAGAGCCCCGTCCTAGCACTAGAACCCCTGACCCTGGGGCCATGAATTTCACAATTTTGGTAGAGTACTCAATGCTTATTACATTCATGCCAACAGTTTGCCTGCTTGATGTCCAGGAGTAAAGAAGAAGATTTTTAAAGATTGAAATAATTTTAGTGTTTTTGGCCCCACCCCTCAGGCCCCAGGGGGGCGAGGACCATGAAATTCACAATTTTTGTTCCCCTTCACCCATAGATGCTGTATACCAAATTTGGTTGAAATTGGTTCAGTGGTTACAGAGAAGAAGATGAAAATGTTTAAATGTTAACACACGACGCACGACGACGGACGAAAAGGGATAGCAATAGGTCACCTGAGTTTACTCAGGCGACCTAATAAAAAATGAAAACAATTTTTTTTTAATCGACATTTCCAAAACACGATTTAAATTGCCGCTTCGGTAAAACATGTGTATTTGTTACCCAACGCGTGTAGTATAAATATAAATTTAATCTATTTTAGTTAATATGCTTATGTTTTACATGTAACTAATAGAATGATGTTCACATTATAGGATAAAACTACTACTTGTAGGATGAATTACATGTATTTCCGAGCCAAAGCGATTCTGAATAAAATAACGGATTTCTAATTTTAAATTTACAATTGTCTGTTGACGTATTGCATAAATACAAGCGTATTTAAAAATTCTAATGCAAAATATTATATATCTATGTGTCATTTTATATTTAATTTATGATGATTATTTTAAATAACATCTACACGTATCTGTAGACAATTCCATGTGGTGATTATACTCGGATAAGATGATGGAAAGAGGAAATCAAATTATAAAAGAAAATTTCCAAAACTAAATACGCAATGTGCTGTGATAGATTTTATTGAACAGAGAAATTTAGGAGAGAGAGAGAGAGAGAGAGAGAGAGAGAGAGAGAGAGAGCGCACGATACCCTCTCCATTCTCAGATATCTGTTTTATCAAATAAAATTTCTATAATTTTTCCTAAATATTCAAAGCATTAAAAATAATCAATTTTTAAGATTAACAAATCCACTTGACAGTAATCATTATTTTCCATCTTCAAATTCACACGGTTCATAGGAAGTCCACGTGCTTGTCCTGTCAATCGAAATCATTCGACAGAGTGGAGGTGTTGAAATCTCGTTTCACCGAACACGCCGAAGGCGAAGAGTCCCTTAGTATTTCCAAGAAGTTTTAATATTTTTATCTATCATTTCTAGATCTCATTTTTATATTTCTGCAGAGAAAAAATGAATAATGGGAAAATGTACTTGGAACAATTAAGTTTGAAACTGTATTTGAAACATATTCCCTGTCAATTAAAAATACTACTGTCGGCACACGTATATTTCAAATACTATTGTTTAACGACTGTTTTGATGGTTGTTTGAGGGGTGGGGTGGGGGAGGGGGTTGGTTGGAGGGGGGGGGGTGCTCTTAATCATACTGAATGGCAAACATATATTTCGGTTGTACGGGGAAGGAAGGAATTTTCCCTCTTTAATAAAAGGCTCATCGCAAAGCTGACAAATTCAAATGTATTTCTTTTTCAATCAGTTAGTCTTTTCTAAAATTTAAAATCACACTATCAATTTCATTAGCTCTAAAGATACTCATTTAACTTTATATCTCCAGTACTCTTCATAATTCTCAGACCAACATGCAGTTCTAATATATTTTCGTGCATTTTTTTGTAAATACGTGTTAGAAATAATTTTTTTGTTTATTGTTGTCTTGTAAAAGACTTCAATTATTGTCCATCCATTAGTTGTCGTCTAGATCTTTTACAACAAAATGTTGCCGTGCTTGAAGCATTTGTACATTGCCCTTATTTAAATTCAATATTTTAACATCGCTCTACATACATGCAGGTACTTCATGTGAAAATTTCATGGATAAAGTAACAGCTAAGTTGTAATAAAAGAAATATTATTATAGTAGTTACTTTTTGCAATGAAATAATTATTCGTCAAACACGATATCTTAGTGTAAATCCTTACCATCAAAAAGATAAGTCCTCTCACTTCAGAGTTCCGAATGACAATGCAGACTGAACGATAAGTGAACGGTGAACACAAGGTGAAGGCAAAGTAAACGGGACTGTAACATGATACATGTGTATGACATAGAGGGGACACTCCATCGGTAAGATTTCGAGTTAACCCCGTCATAATATATCGGTATTTTAAAATAAAGTTTGAAAGATGATGCCCTTCTTCCTATTTTAAATACAATTTTCGAACATTTATAAAGAAGAGAGAAAAATTTACGGGAACAGATTGTAAATAAATTTAGATTATATTCTTTAAAACAGTGAATATCCATAGAAAAATATAAAATGCATCCTTATTTATATATTTTTATTTGAACGTTTGACTAACATTTGTATACTAATTCATAACATCATACAGGACACCTATAACAGCTGAGAAAATTAAATTATACACGTGTTACATCGTTTTAAGGTCAGCATATATGTACATGTACCAGAATTTTCGCCCCAATATGATAGAAAAGCCCTGGCCCTAAGACTATAAACTGAGAATAGACTTCAGTCAAAATTCTGATTTTACACATCTTACATTTTATTAAATGTACTTGCTTAAGATTTTGCGATGTTGTTTACTATTTCAATTCAAAATTTGTGATTAAAAATTTGTTTCAATATCCATAATTATTTCAAAAGTTATAATAGTTTGAAATTTTGACTCAAGTCTATTCTCAGTTTCTGGTATTGGGGCCAGGAGTGTTATGTCGCCTGATGCGGAGGGAATAGGGTGATATAACACTCAAGGGCTTTCCTGTCACCTTAGGACAAATATTCTAGTATTGCTCCCAAGAATTGAAACATGTAATAAATGGCATATTACATTTTTAAACACTGAACAAAATATTCTGGTATTGCTGCCCGAGGATTAAGCCATGTAACATATGGCATGTTACATTTCAAAAACTGAACGCAAATCGATCATCGAACATATTTTTGAATAAATAAGAACGTTATTCCACAAATACCTCTTTGCACTTTTTACAAAAGTATCTGTCCTTTAAGGATCCACGAAACAAGGACGTTGGATCTTGTAATCCTTCGATATGATCTAAAATGTACACAACAAAATAAAAAGAGTCAGAATAATTTTGCTGTAGACTAATGAGACTTTAAAGGATAATAATAATAATAATAATATATATATATATATATATATATATATATATATATAGAGAGAGAGAGAGAGAGAGAGAGAGAGAGAGAGAGAGAGAGAGAGAGAGAGAGAGAGAGAGAGAGAGAGAGAGAGAGAGAGAGAGAGAGATATGTTCCATGTTGACAACAAAATTGGCTGTTTGAACGATATAAATACATTTTACATGTTCCATCTTCTTTGCCTTCCAGTTCTTCAGATTTTCAAAAAAAAAAGCCAGCAAATTTTCACAAATCTTAATTTCTCCCCTTGAAAGAGGACGCGGCACTTCCTTTGAAAAAATTAAAATCCCCTTCACCCATGCAGGCTTTGTGACACTTTTGGTTGAAACGTGCCCATTAATTCTTGAGAAGTCAAAAATGTGAAAAGTTTACTGACGACTCTTTGGCCAGTAAAGTTCACTTGAGCCTAAAACCTGAGGCTTATTTCCCCACGATAAAGAACAGCACTGCACAAAGGCCCTGAGCGCCGAATTAATGTCTAAACTTCAAGCCTTTCTCCAGCATATGTTTACCTTTCAATATGAGTAAAAAATTCTCAAACAGGAAGGTCAGTAACATAAAGTCATGATTTAAATCTATTATGCATTTCCAAAATTAAATACATTTGTATTCATACCGCATTACCTTTACACTTCTCCAGGGTCTTGAATTCTTCTTGAATACCGTTTAGTAAGCTGGTTAAGAAGGATAATGTATCCTCCTGTTGAAATTCCCTGTATTCTGAATGCCTTAAATAAAGTGTTAATTATGAGCCGAAATGATCACTATGATGTTAAATTCATTTGATTTCCATTTTGATAAAAAAAAATTAATTATATGAACAATTATAATTACTTCGTTACGAATGCATGGTCCGTCAATATATTTTTACTTTGGAGATCGCACATTAAGGACTAAATATTGTAGTGTTACATTACTATTTATTATATAGCTTACAAACAGTCAATAATAAAAACATTTATTTGCTACTAAAAATCCAGAGAATTTTAACATTTAATATCTAAGTGTTTTATTGAATGCCGACTTTGCATTACGTATATGACTATGCCCGAATCATTCCAAATACAAGCGTTCAATATCAAACGCCCCGTTGTAAACAATAAATGTCCTCTGATTAACCTAGAACAAGATTTATAACGAAAAGTTGGTCTAGGAAAGAGGTGATTATTTTCGCGCTAAATTAAAATTATTAATTCATAATTCAATAAGTATTAGCCACAAGAATACCTCAATACACAGATGATGTCGCTAAGTAGGGTCATTGAAATAAATGCGATATTGAGCACTTGCAAGACAAACGTTAATTTAAGTACCGAAACTGAATTTCTGATAAATTTGTGTTATTTAGTTGAACTTATATAAATCGATGAGAGATGTTTAAGCTATACAATAAAGGATGAATTGAAATTGTATCGGTGAGTATTGGCACTCATCGGCTGTACAAATGCTCTAGCAAGCTCGACTTTATCAACCTGAAGACAAAACCATAATGTTTCCATTTCTATTTTTTTCTCTGTGATAACTCTTTGAAAGTTGTACTTAGGTAAACCTCAATAGATAAAGTAGAATCAAAGGGATGTGCGGATTAAAATGATTCCCTTTACTTGTAAATAATTGAAGTAATTAAGTCCCCATCGAATCTCGGCTCAGGATGAAAATATAAAGATTACGAATAGTATTCAAGCTCAAAAATCCATAAAACAATACAAAATAGGAGCCCAGCAAACACGGACCTCCTTAAGGACAGATGATACAAACAAATTTTTTCTTTGAAAAAAATTTAATATCACGTCACAAGTTTAGAAAAGTGGAAGGTTCTTAGAATGTTTTTTCCTAAGAATTGGAAAATGAAATAGACTTGGAAAATATTAGTAATATTTCAATAAAAAAGCAAATATAGACAAATAACATTCAGTAAAGGTTTACAGGTGAAAACAGATTTCAGAATATGTTATCTTGGCTTAAAAGTGTAATATAAACCTTAGAAAAATATACCAAGCCAGGTGAATTTTAAGAGGAAGATCAAAATAACAGAAAATCAGCAATATCACATAGGCTGATTTTTACCATTTAGCTTTTCCTAATAAAATTCACCTGGCTTGGTGTATTTTTCTTAAGATTATATTACACTTTTAGCACTATGTTGACATATTCTGAAAAATTGTCAAAGAAAAAAAAATTGTTTGTATCATCTGTCCTTAACATCAGAGGTGGGGTCAGGTGCCATGGAGGAGTCAGCATCCCATGCCGACCAGTGACACTCATCGTGTGCCCCTTGTCATAATCAGGAAATAACGAAAAAGTCTGTCGTCAATTCAGTGTGTAAAAAATGGACTAACATATTGTATGAAAACGTAAGTCAACATAAAACATATAAATTGTATTTTCTGACAAAGCTATGTATGATTTGGATTAAAGTAAAACTAACACATTGTTAACATGGCATTTGTAATCATAAACTTACGTTCATCCTATTTCATTTACATAAACATAGTAACTAATGTATGTTTTATCCTTAGCATGCTTTTTTCATCTTTGTCAAATAAATTCCTTACTTTTCGTTGAATTCAAAATGAAAATGTTGTAAATATTCCACCATTTCTGTACCGCCGGTGTTTTGAGTTCTGATTTTTTCCAGGATAATTGAAAGTAAGCCAATCCAAGGTGCTTTCTAAGAAATTTTCCCAGGTAACATATGGAGATAACGAATGAAATATATTACAAATAATGAAAAATATATCCATGTTTTTAAAAAATAATAAATGAAATGCATTATGGTATCATAGTTAACACCACGCCTCACCTGAGTAAGGTAAGTTGCAGATTTTCGCCTTCATTTGACATTAACCCCACCCAACTAATAAACCATACTTTCCCGGAATCGTGATATGAACAAACTTGCATCTACTTTTTGCAATAAAGCTTCCATATAGATTGATCTTTTCTGTCCCATGAGTTATTGAGAAAACGATTGTTTTATTACGATCTCATCATTGTTAAAAAATTTTTATTTAAAAAAAACTTACACGTATCCTCTTCCTGTCGTATGCATTATAATATGTTTGGCAATTTATTAGGCTAAATTTGTGAATTCTGAGATGTCCTAATGTAAAAACGCGGATGCATGTAACAATGACGACAGACGACACATTTGATTCGAAAAGTTCACTTCAATATACATCTCAAATAAGTTGAAAAAAATTATAAACACTCACCTCTCGTAAAGGTTCTAACATTAGATGAAAGAAAGGGGTCTCAGCCAAAGTCTGTGATAAAAAACATTAAACTTATATACCTGAAGTTATATATAGTTACTACTTAGATGGATATATATCTTATGTTAATCGCGTACTACTAAGCCCAAACTTAATTAATAAGGTTGTCTGGTAAGGTTGGCATGGGAAAAGAGCGTTTTTCATTTATTTTGTAGGATTATAAAATAAATTTTATACAAAGGCATTATTTAAAAAAAAAATCATCTTTTGTTCTCTAAAAGAAAAAAAATTGTATGGCATTTGTTAAAATACAGCTACACTATAAAATACTGCCAAATTTTTCTTTCAGAAGAATGAGGGAGTATTCTCACTAACCTGAAGAATTGCATTTCTGTAGCAAGAAAGACCAACATTACTCAGCCCAAATGACTTTTGAAATCGGTTGCTTTCCTGAATAAAACAATAAAAATTCATTAGACGACCCCTATATTCGGATACAGTATTTAAATTATGAGAAATGCACAAACTCCTGAAAATATATTGCAAAAAGGTTGGCAATAAGAACAAACTATTTCATAAATGTATCGAAAGAATACTTTTGTATATTCCCACTTTGCCTTTCTGAAATGATTATTTACACAAGCATTCAAGACTCCTTTCCTGTTTTGAGGTTAAAGAAGTACAATGTATTTCGATTTCAAACAAGACGATCGATCATGGGCCACATCGCTCACATGAGTTCTGGCTATGTAAAACTAAAAGCAAAAATCAGTTCAGTATTGAAAAATTCAAATATAAAACTAGGTTCAAGTAGAGTAATGATTTGAACAAACTTGAATCTACACCACATGAGGATGCTACCATTTAACTATAACCAATCATGGCTTTGCTCTTACTGAGAAGAAGAATTTTAAAGATTTTCCCCATGAATTCCTATCTTAAACTTTGATCCCTCATTGTACCCCCATCCTACCCCTGGGGTCATGATTTGAAAAAACTTGAATTTGCACTACCTGTGGATGCTTCCATATGAGTTTCATCTTCCATGGCCCATTAGTTCTTGAGAAGTTAAGATTTTTAAAGATCGTCCCTATGTGTTCCAATGTAAAAAGTTGACCCCCCACTCATGGTCTCACCCTACTCATGGGGGTAATGATTTAAACAAACTTAAATTTGCACTACCAGAGGATGCTGCTTACACATGAACTTCATCTTTCCTGGCCGAGTGGTTCTTGAGTAAAAGATTTTTAAAGATATTCCCTATGCATTCCGATGTTGAATTTTGAACCCCCATTATTGCCCCATCATACCCTTGTGGGTCTTGATTTGAACAAACGTGAATTTACACTACCTGAGGATGCTTCCACATAAATTTCATTTTCCCTGGTCCAGTGGTTCTTGAGTAGAAGATTTTTAAAAGATTGCATAAATTTTTCACTAATAATAATAATTATTTCCCCTTAGAAGAGGGCGTGACCCTTCACTTGCAAAAACGAGAGTTCCCTTCACCCAAGAATACTTTATGTCAATTTGGTTGAAATTGGCCTGGTGGTACTTTAGACGATGATGAAAATGTGAAAAAAGTACAGCGACGCCAACGACAACAACAGCAACAACGGACAACGGACAACGGACAACTTTTGATCATAAAAGCTCACTTGAGCTTTGCTAAAAATTAAGTATGAGAGAAATGTCTTTACATTTAATGATCTACGTGAAAATATAACCTTGAATTATACATTCGTGGCTCGAGAAAAATAATTGATAAGAGGTAAGTGTCTCCTTCTATATTAAAGAAATGTACAGAAAGAATAATACTGTCCTAATTGGCTGTAAGAATCCCTGAATATGTGTCCCATCGAAATTCAGAGGTGTAAATTAACACTCTCTAATATTATTTTGAAATTCTTAAAATTTATTCAGCATTATAGAAAACATTGCGGACAAAAGATTGCTTTTCTCAGGCATAATAGACGTTAGAGAGACGTATGTAAAGACACCACAATCTATAAATACACCAACTTTTCAATTAAGTGGTTGGTATAAGAAAAATCTTAACTTTTATCAAATACTAGTAATTGGTAATACACAAGCTAATAATTGTCCTAAATAGTTTTAACTTGAATCAGAACATAAACGGTACCTCGGTTGCTGAATCTCTTGAATTTTTGGCCTGTTACAAATAAAATTAAATTGGTTTTATTATAAATTAAACACCTATATGTATTAAGTCTACGTTTCGCAAAGTTTTTCGTTAGATCAGGGACCGTGACATACCATGCACAAATAAAATTGCAATTTGTAATTAGAAGCATCAGCTGAAAAAAATGCACAGGTATCTGTTCAATTTATTATGGTTGTGGTTGATTGTAAAAAAAAAAATTAGAAAGAAAATGACATTTTCTTAAATATATTTACAAAAAGAAATGAATGACGTGAACATTATTTTATTTTACCTTTTTCTGCTTTTTAGCAGAATCATCTTTATTTTTCTGTTTTCTTTTCTGTGATGAAAGGCTCTGCGGGTTTTCTTGAATATCCTTTTTGTCGTGATCTGGAAGCGCGTTATTAATGCTCTCTTGAGCTATTCCTTGTCTTGTAGTTCCATTTTCTAAGTCAACATTATTACACATGTACAGGTAGATGCGTAGCGTATAGTTAAGCATTTTAATATAATAAACAAATGGGTATAATTTTAAAATAAAAATAACATCAATTTTTTTTTACATGAACCTATTTACTTTTTAAAATGTAATTTAAAGAACAGGGAAAATTTAACATTTTCTTACTTTTATTTGTACTAGCTACCTAGTTTTATGATGTGATGGCATGCATATATTATATATAATTAAAGATTTTAAACTTCTGAAACATACAGGAAAAAATGTAAGACCCTACGGACTGCAAAACAATTTGTTTTGGGACAAAATTATAATATAGATAAAAGAAGTCATGTTTCCATACGTATAGCTCTTTCTTAAAAGGTAAATTAAGCAAACAGTGATTGATATAAAAAAATCTTCCAATAATACTAATATGTAAGTAGGGCATTAAATATAGATCCATTTAAATTTCAGAGGTATGATCAGCTGAAGGAGTAGGCCTCACCTGTTTGCCAGTCATTTTTGAAATAATCAAGGATAAATGCATAGTCAAATCTTTTTTAAAAAAGAACTTAAAAGTTTGTATATACCAGCAACTTTGACGACCATAAAATTAAATTTACGAAATGATGACTTTGAAATAAATGAAATTGTTGAAAACTCTGAAATATATATATACATGTATCCTTGAATTGCAAGTCAGACTTTAAAAATGAATCTTACGAACAAGATCCTGAGAAGTGAGTAAGTTGGGAGACATAACCACCCTGATGATGTTTTATTGGAATAAAATTAAATGCATAATGTAGTCTAGCCAGGTTCAAAGATTTAAGTAGCATAATGTGCATTTTTTGCCACACCAAAGAGATAAGTAATAAGTTTTTTTTTTACCTCCGATCCAAATAGGAACATATAAGGAATTGTATCATAAGCTTAAATAGAAAAATTTTTTTAAAAAGTGTAGAATACCTGTAACTTTACAGTTGTTCGTTGGTTCTGTCTCCTGCTGTAAAAATATTGCACCTTGTTAGACATAATTCGCACTACACAATTGCCATTTTTTAAAGAACAAGAGGCCCACGGGTACTTATAGGTCACCTGAGTGTCATGTAACAACTTTCCAACAATTGAATTGGTTCGTGTTTTAAATCAAAGGCCATGTAAGTCAAAATTTTGAAAGAGGCACTATTGCTCATCATAACTATACACTTAGCTTGCTTACTTTGGTTACTAAATACCTAGAGGTAGATCAGAGTAACAAAGAGAAAATGCATTTCCACTTTATAACCAGTTGTGCACCCCACCCTACAGGAATCACTGATCCTGCGGGCACATATTTCAAGATTCTGGAAATTTTATCATTGATTTTATTTCAACAAAAATGGTTGATTAATACAAAAAAGTATATTTTACAGCTTAATTTATTTTCAGACTATATAACCTCCACCCCCAGTTCCCTGACCAAGGGGCCCTGAAATTAACCATTTTTTAAGAGTCACCTTTCATCATCATTAATATGTACCGAGAACATTGGTATAATACCCAGGAGCAAAGGGAAAAAAAGTTTTCGAAGAATTCATGCATTTTAGTATATCATCATAAGAGCCCCGCCTTAACTCCAAAACCCCTGATCCTGGGGCTCTGAAATTCACAAGCTTGGAAGAGGCATTCAAACAATTTGAGTAAAAAAGAAGATATTTAAAGATTGTGTTAATTTTAGTGGTCATGGCCCTACCACTCAGGTACCTGGAAGGCAGGAACCATGAAATTCTCAATTTTTGTTCCGCTTAACCCATAGATGCTTCATGCCAAATTTTGTTACAATTGGTTTAGTGGTTGCAGAGAATTAGCTGAAAATGTCCAAATGTTAACACACGGCGAAGGACAAAAACAGATAGCAAAAGGTCACCTGAGTTGATCTAAAAATGAAGAATAATAAATAAGGTATTTCGTTTTACCTTTATTTGGGTCAATAGTGGAAATTTAAAGTATTCATGACATTGCGCTTTTAAGCATTTTCCTAAAATAAATGGCTGTCCTTCCCTGTCCGGCAACAGTGCCTTCTGAATACAATGTCGGCAGAATTTATGACCGCATCGGAATATTTTATATACCTGAATAAATATATAATATTAAGACAATTATAAAAATTTGAAGTCCCATATGATCGTCTTGTTGATTAAAATTGAAAATCAACAAAAATCCATTTCATACATGTGCTTATATGTATATAAAACATACATCTTTTTTACTACAGTGGTCACACTTTCCGTCAGGACATTCAGAAATGAAGAGGTTTACCTTAAAAAAGTAAAAAAAAAAAATCCTCTCAATAGAATATACGAGTATAGAAGGTATTTTTTTAATAAGTGAAAATATTAGAAATGATTACCAAAAAATTTATTAAAATAGGATGAGTAATGAAATCATCCTGACAGACCTTAAAGCTTATAATTGTGGAAAAGAATTTCAATCTTCAATCTTACAACCGCTTAGCTATGATAGATCCTCAAACCCTCAAATTAACGTAACAGTCTGTGACAATTCGTTAGGAAAAGAGAAGGAATTATTATAAAGAAATGAATCAATGAAAAATATAAAAAGGGTTTTTGGTAGAATAATTTCGATATCAAACTATAGAATACTGAATATAACAGTTTTAGTATTGTACAGTGCAGACAAATAAAACTCATTTTAAACTTTAATTTTACAGGATAAGTGTAAAATGTTTAGGTGTAAAAAAAATAAAAATTATTTCCTTCACTTTTCTGTAGCTGTTTTAATATTATTAACTACTCGTAAGTAGCATTTACCATAGGATTTTTCAGCATTTCCTGCAAATGAACGAAAATACTCGGCGGTGGGTTTTGGCAATTCCATCCGTTTTGGACACACATGTTGCTGCCATCATTATTCTGAATACAATTTACGCAATATACATGACTGCAGAAGACCAACTTCAAGAAACCCTACAATACATGTATGTGAAAATAGGAATGAAAAATTATGTATATGTATTTAACTTTCTATTTGAATTTCCAAGAGGTTTACAATTCCATTATTGTTCATCTGAATCTAAATGTTCTTGCATGTTTCACTCGCAATAAGACCAAATACAAAATCAGATAAGACATTCGATTTAATTTAGAAGCCCCGGCCCTCGATTTCAAATAGTGAAACATATTTCAGATGTAATTAAAAAAGTTTTTGTTTGTAAGAAAATACCATTAATAGATCTATGGTGTTGTGAAAAGGACAATGTCGGTGTTGAACTGAAAATTATGTTTTTATTTATTTTTACCTTTTTTAAGCATTTAAGTGTGTTACAATTTTCTCCTTCTGCAACTAACTTGAAATACAGCGATATCTGCAAGACATAAGATTTTTTTTTTAATTTTAAAGAAAGTATCACTATATACTAGGACACTTTTCTGAAAAATGACCTGCCCTGTAAATATCAGAATTTGCCTTTTGGTATAATCTGACATAATATAGTTAAAAACACTATGGAAAAGCCTTGGTGTAATTTTTATTGCTTGCGCTGTCGAACTGAATAACGATTGAATTGACTGTTAGTGCTAGGGCAGTCACTGTTCAAATATGTGTTCCATGTTACAAGATCTTTCTTTATGCATCATCAAATTGAATCTTTTAAAATTGACCTTAGACTTTGACTCACATTCACATCTTCTATATATCTTGGCCATAACTTTTGAACACTTAGTACTTGGGCTTTCATATTTCATAGGTTGTTTACTTATAACAACATTTTTTTTATACCAACAATTTTGACAATTTGACCTTCACCAAGGAGTCTGACTTGCATTTGGGAAACCATCGTAGTCGCGCATACAGGGATACTTCGAGGGAGGTTAAATGAAGTAAAAATATACAACCTTAAAATTTCTTTACAAGCAGTAAAAAAATCCTTAGCTTATTCATAAATATGCAAATTAATTCTTGGAATTTCTTTCTTAGATTTCATTTTGAATTGAAATAAGCAAACACTAGGCATATCAATACTATAGAATAGTCATTATGCAGCAACAGTGGGAAATTCACCACGTTCAAATTTTTAATAAGGTCACACGAGATTTCTGAACATGGATAGTTGTAAAATCCGCGGGAGACTTCAAATTTAGTGTCAAGTTAGGTATGTTACATCATGTTATAGGAGCATCTCCCCCTCACGTCGAGTTCGGCTAAGTAAAATTACAATAGGATGCCTTTCTCTTTATTTTTTTTGTCAAGAAAGTCTTGGCATTCTGTCCCACAGACTTATTGCAGCCCGGAGGACCGGGCTGCTCTATACATATAAGTTTAAGTGTTGGTGTATGGGAATTGGGGTGGGAGTAGTTATGTAGAATTAAAGGTTTTCTAAACATTGAAAAAATTGTTAATCAGATTGTTATTTCCGTTTATAAATTACGAGATACATTATATATTTAATTCCATAAAGTAAATCTGTAAAAATATATATGTTTTTCATATTTAATATATAAGTTACTTATCATTTACTATCGAAACAACGACAGGTCCCTTTTTTTAGAACATCGAATTTTACTTCTATGATAAAAACGTACTCTGCACTGTTCCTGTTTTATATTCTAAAATTGAAAATTAATACATTTTTAAATATAAATGATGCGTGTGTCTAACTTCAATTTATATTTTAATTATGCAGCCAAAATGTACTTGAGGAACTGATCAAGTTTAAAATGGTATCGTTTTTGATTGATTTTTATCCGACTACAAGTTTTTTTTAAATATTTGCGACAATCGTCTCCATCTAGATGCATGTCTTTTTACACATATCGAAGCGGTTTTAATTGTTGATAAAGACTCATTTTCATTGTTTACTTTATATATTTCGCGGGCGACAATTGATGGTTGCATCAATGTTTTCTTGTTTATTACTGTAAACAGGGAAATTGACGCCCCCGTTGTCACAAGTGGACTATTTGGAAACGGGGCTAATTCAAAGAACACAGTATACATTCTTAATAAGAACTTGGACTAGGCGAAATAAAAACGGGGCAAAAGAATGTTTCCACTTTAGCATACTGCCGTGGCCCCTTTTTCCGACCCCACTAACTTTATCTAATTATCTCAAATCTTAATAATTTTACACCTAACCGATATTTTGTTATCAGTAGTGGTACTATACTTGCAAAAATTTTCATAAAAAACGACGCTTTAGTTTTATTTGAGGTAATTAAAAAAGCCCTCTAGTGGATGGTAATTCCGGAGTGTTGCGCTTGTCCGAGTTGGGTCACATTAATATTCGGAGTTGGTGGGGCATTTTATCGAATGAAAGTAAACACAAAGAACTTCTCAAGCTTCACGCGAGTTTCTTTTTGGGGGGAGGGACGCTGTGGGATCATGCGCGGGGATGTGCATGTACTCCCTCCCTAAATCTAGATATTCCCCTCAATTTTTAGCTGTTTCTACGTGAAAATTTAACACTTAAAATAAACTGATAAAGGAAGCCTACAAGTTTGTACATAAAAAAACGAATAAAATCCCATTAAACATGTTAAAGAAAAAAACTTCTTTTGTGTTTTCTAAAAGATAAATGTCGTATCGAATTTATTACATATCAAACTCTCCCTCTCTGTCTCTCTCCGTACTTTTAAAAGTACTGTTAATTTTACTTAGTACATATAATGGTTTACAGAATTTTTTTGTTGCGATGCTGCGTGTGGTGATATTTTATTACTAAATAATTTTATTAATATTGTATGCGTGATTGTTTTTTTTTTTTTTTGTTGTTGGTTTGTTTGCTTTTTTTCGGGGGGGGGGGGGGGGGGGGCAGAAAGCATTCCAGTGTTAAACCATCTACGTACTTCTATACCCTGAGTGCATATATTTTTACATTTAAAACACTTTGAGGAAAGATAGTATTGCAATGATTGGGACTTAATCTCTTTGAAATTCTTTAACCCTCCAAACGTGCGCCGTAAATCCAATGGGGAACCGGAGTCGGTTATCTTATCTTGTATCGGTAGGGGGCGCCACAGGAAAATGCGGTCCATTACAAAAGTGATAAAACCTGTGAAGATGGATAATCAGCATCCATTCTCGAATACGATATCGGAAAGCACACACGTTTCAGTTACAATCCTTAATTTACTATGGCATCTAATTGTGGTGATATGACTATACCTGAACTTAAGAACGAGTTAGAAAAGTTTGGAGCAAAGAAATCAGGAAGGAAGTGGGAACTTGTGGAGAGGTAAATAAACATACGATGTTTTCATGCAAATCCAAGTAAACATTATTAATAACACAGTAAATAATTATCAATGGTGTGTAAAAGATTAACATTAAGTCAAATTGACAGTAAATATCAGAATTACCTCGTTTAAGAAACTAATTCTTAAATAATCTGCAACTTTAGCGTGTTAGATTTTTAACTTGAATTTCCTCGGTAATTCTAACATCGATCTCATATTGCTTGGTGCTTGCAGTAAAATAAGAATACTTCTCTACATTTTTATTATGAAGCAGTATTATTATTTCCTGATTGTTGCAGCTATGTTTCACTCAAAATATACATGAAAAAGAATTAAATATGCTTATTTTATTGCAGACTTGAAGCCTACAGAAGAAATGCACATTGTGCTAAGACCGATGTTTATGGACCTGAATTTATGATGATGACGCCAGATCCACAACTCTACAAGGACCTTCATGGTGACAAGACCTTTCCAGGTTGCACAGAGGCAGAAATTTCCACTTTCTTGTCGAAGTTTAATAAGACAACTGATAAGAAAGGAAGGGATATGTACAACGATGGGTTTATCCAGTATGTGAGGGTGACATTTCATGATTCAAATTGGTTCGTTAGAAGTAGTGTAAAAGCTTCAATGATGAAGTCTGTGAAATATGTTGTTGACATTATGATAGGAAAAGACAGAAGTGTTATAGAGTCTCAATGTGAATGTGCGGCAGGCATGGGACCCGATGCACATTGCAAGCATGTCTGTGCTGTACTTTTTTCATGTGCAGATTTTGTTAAGCATGGGACATACAAAACAGAACTCACCTGCACACAGAGGTTACAAACTTTTCATCGTGCTAAGCCCCATAAAGGAAGCCCTATGAAAGCAAGACAGTTGGACATGCCAGGCTGTGACGAAGTATGCAATAATGACTATGACCCTCGTCCAGTTGAATTTAGAGGCAATCCGGGATACCAGTCTTACTTTAGAAATGTGTGCTTGAATTACCCAGGTATTAGCAAGACTCCAATTTTTCAGCTGTATGAGCCTGTAAACATGAAAGCTTACAACCTGGACCATGACTATCTAAAAGACACGTTTAGTGAAAATCATTTGAAACTTTTAAATGTATCAGAAATTTCAGAGGAGAATGCACGTCAAGTTATGATAAAAACAGCTACACAAGCGGCCAACGACCTTTGGTTTGAGGAACGTTGCAAACGTCTTCATTCTTCGGTATTCGGGAGAATATGTAAAGCAACTGATCGAACTGATAAGGTGAAACTTGCTGACTTTTTAACAACAAAGGCACAAAAAATTAATGCTAAACCTATTCTTCATGGAAGAAAATACGAAAAAGAAGCTGTGAAGAAGTACCAGGAAATTTCGGGACGCACAGTTTACAATAGTGGAATTTGTGTCAGTCTGGACTCCCCTCATTTAGCAGCAACCCCAGATGGTATTATTGACGATGACACCTTGATTGAAGTTAAGTGTCCATATGTGGCAAGAAACAGTTTTATTTCCTCAAAAACAGTTCCTTATATCAAGCAGTCTGGAAGTAAATTTTATTTGAATAAAACCCATGACTATTACTATCAGGTCCAAGGACAACTTTACTGTGCAGAGAAAAATGAGTGTATATTTGTTGTGTATACTTTCAATGACTTTTTGTTCTTTGCAATAGAAAGGGATGATAAATTTATTGATGAGATGAAGAAAAAATTGAATGAATTCTATGAAGATTTTTTTAAGTCTGCTCTATTGGAAAAAACTTTTTTCAAGACATATGATGGAAAATGTAGTTGCAATAAAGAAAAATGAAATAAAGACTTTTTTCTCTTATTATGTCATTTTTAATACCAAGTTATGCAATGCATAAGATGGCACTATGCAATTCTTAAAATTACACAACATGAAACAAACATAGATTATTTCTGAAGAAAGTTTTGTTTCAGAACTATTCATAGGCTCAGTCAGAATTTTGAATGTTTTTGCAAGTCCAATGATCCTCTCAATGTGCACACGTTTGCTGGATATTTTTCGGTCCTCAATCACAGTAGCACATGACATTCTGTTTTTCTTTTTGAAAAATGTTGGTGTATTTATTTGAATGTTCCTGTGTACAAACATATCCTGCACATTGAAACCTTTGTCCGCCATTATTGAATCTCCAGAATTGCACATTTCTAACAGCCTACTTCTTTCAACTATTTGACGGTCACTTGTGGATCCCCCATAAGCTGTAGAAATATAAGATGTTAATCCACCTGGTGTCGCTCCTACAAGAACTTTTACCGTGTTACGGTTTTTATAGGTAGAATACGTTGCTTGCTGTGGCTTTGGTAACTTTGGTCTTTTAATTGGACACTCTGTGCCATCTATTATCACTCTAGTATTTGGAAATTTTGTTTTAAAATCTGATGGACAGTAATATTTTACAAGATACTTTGTAGGCCAAATGTCGATTTCCTGCCATTGCTTACTCATGAATAAAATCCATGTAAAAAATATATTTGATACAGTCTTTTCGGAAACTCCAAATAATCTTGAAAGTTCAAAATTGGTCGTATGGCGCCGTAACTTGCAGAGGACTAAGAAAAATTGGTCAGGAACACTTATGTTTGAAACCTTATGATAAATATAATTCAAACAGTGAGCTGCGGGTCCTAAGGTTCTTAAAACAAAATAAAATTTAGTTAGAGTTTCCAATCCAGTATAGAAATTTACTCCGGCATCATCATTTGTAAAGTTTTCAATACTCATTGGGGGATACTGAGGAGTTTGTGTCTGTACATCAAAAAATTTAACGTCAGATTTCTGAACAGTGACTTGAATTTCTTCAGCCAAAATTTGGGTAGAGTTAGATACAATTTCCTCGGATACTTGCAGATCATCAGCTGATGTATAGATGAATTCATCTATGGAAGACGAAGCAGAAAATTCTTCTGCTAGTTTTCGTTTGATGCCTCTGGACTTGGCTCTGTCGGCTCGTTCATGTGAATGTGGACTTGGCTCTACCCAGGGAAAAATGCTTGGCACTGCAGTTTTCTTCAATCTTTTACTTAAAGGAGTAGTTCCTAAGAATTGAATTATTTAATATATCAATACTTGTTCATAGTACTAGATTATTTATTAAATAATTAATTTATAATTTGAACTAACTTTTTAAAGCAAATAAAACAAATATAAATTTACTAAAATATTTTTATTATTACAAGTATTATTGTTATAAAATTGATGTTACAAAACATGCCCATGTGTTTATTAATTCAACTAAACAGGTCAAATTTGTTTTTAAGCAGGGTGCTAATTAGACATCAATGTCAAAACACAGTATCTTGTACTGGTAGATATGCATAAATTATCAGGCAACAGCATGTGTTCTTTTAGACATGCCTTGTGTTTATATTGTTAAAAGATAATGCGTTTGTAATAAATGACCAGTAATTGAAGTTGTCAGTGGGGAGTCTGCATGTGGCAGTGTCTGTAACGTTATCAGATTACTTCGTATGAGAGGTAAACAAGGGATTCGATATTTTAGTGCATTTCATCTAAGCAAATAAGGCATAAACATTGCTCAGAATAAAATCTATTAACATTACTTTGCACATGCTTATCAAAGATTTCAAAATAAATAAATAAATATTGTTACCATGCTGGGTTTCAGTCAAATAGTCGTCTGATTTAAAATGTGCTCTGCAAACAACAGCATGAGTTGACGGAGTCCAGCTTTGAAAACGAGTTTCACCACGTTTTATTGCGTGTATCCATGCTTTTCTTCTTAACGGATCTGTTGGAAATATATGGCCACCCCGATTACTACAATTCGGCACACAACAACAAGTTTCAGGCATGTTTTACGAGCATGTGTTTGACAGCAGATTGTTTACGTTTTTCTTCGATCGGTAACTACTGATAAGGCGCGAGGGTGTTCCGATACAGGACCGTGTTTGCCTGTGGCGCCCTCTAAAGAAAAGATAATCGGAGCAGGTTCCTAATTACTAAAATAAAATATCTTTACATTTTGTCCAATTTTATATTCTATTACTCTTTAAAAATACTAAGCCGAAAAAAAATCGATGTTGATTAATTGAAAATGTACATGCACATGCATCGAACGGTATAACTAAGCTGGTCGCTTTTCGATGCAGTGTTATCAGTCGGAGCTACAGCCACGTGATTTATTACGTGACCCATAAATAGGGAAGAAAACGGTCGGCGTTTTGTACCTTTCTTCAAAAAGTTAACCCCGAGCGCAGGCTTGCCCAAAATTCTCCTTTAAAGCTGCTTGGTCCGATTCTAATCGTTAAAAAATATATTCGCTCTTCTTCTTCAAAAATAATTGTCCATAAATTGATTCAAATTTTGTAAAATTATATCCCCAAAGTCTTTTTATTTTAAAAGATATCAAAATTCAAAAGTTAAAAATATTATTTTTGTTAGGTCACACAAAAAATAATCCTTTGTTGATATTGCGTGGAATTACCTTCGAAAAATTAAATTTATCGCTTACATGTATAACTCATGAAGAACAAACCCGAGCATTTTTTTCCACAACAAAGTACTTACACCTGTACACTGGCAATATTTTAGCCCTCGTTAATAAATTCCCTTTTGAAAAAAAAAATTAAAAATATCTGATTTTCCTTTATTCTGTAAATATGCCTATTAAAATAAAAATTACTTTGGATTAATTTGAATTAATTTCTTAATTTTTAAAAGATATATCATGACTTAGGCTTTCACTAATGAAAAAAAAATACTCGGGTTTGTATTCTCTTCATAATTAGATATAACCGTTAAAAGTATTTTTTCAAAGGTGACTTCACAACATATCTGAACTTCCCGTCAAGAACTTCTGTTTGTCAATAAGGTTTTTGATCTATGTTTTCCATGTAACAGCTGTGTAAGGATTGTTGTAAGAAACTGTTAAATCAATCTTATAATTCATTTTTATATATTATCTATTTAATGAGTACTTTTATTGTTTCAGATAATATGTGCCTGTTTCGGATCAAGCGGCTTTAAATATGTTGTATTTCCAACAGTTATACACCTTCTGTCTTTTTGGGACATTTGGGCAAGAATGCGCTCACCATGTATTCCAGCTATAAAGATCAGAATAACTTTGAATAACAATAGAAGTTCATGAATTGCAGTGACCCCTCTTACAAAACACAGCCTCCTACTTTCTTCTTACTAATACTTTTAATTCCTGTAATTTTGCAAAGTTGCGATTAAGACCTAGGCGAATTGCTTAATTAATCTCATTTTGCTACTTTCTATACTTTATTTTTGATGTTCGATTTTTCAGCAGCAATATCAAGCACAGTATGTGAGCGGTCAATGTCCATTAAAGCTTAATTTGTCTACGAGGAAACCAGGCCCCGGGATCATGAAACATCTTAGCTTAAGTCAAGAAAAGTCTTAGATGCTGAACTTTTTTAGAGGTTAAGCAGCCCAAAATGAAAATGCTTTCAGATTTTATATCATCAATCTGCTCTCATATGCAAATTAAGAGTTTCCTTTAACAAGTTTTTAAGAATTTATAAATGATAGAAATTTTTACTTAAGTCTAAGTCTGTTTCATGATCCTGGGGCCAGACCCTTAAAAAAATATGGTCACACCTTAGTCAACCGTCATGCTAGTTCTTTTCTTTATTTCTCACTCCAATGGAATACCAATTGTAATACAAATTACAATTACATAATTTTCGTTTTATATGCTACTTAGCGCTTTTTTCCTCCGATTTTACATATTAAGAATTAAATGATTATGAACGAGTAAATGTTTTTGAAACGCATTTTCAAACATCCGTTTCTATGGCCATTGCTTTAAAGTTACCATCATGAATATCTAAAATATATTTTTATCAAAAGAATTGAACATTCAAGTATTTATATTCTCATTATTAAATTTTCATTAATAAATAAGTAAAATATGAAGAAATGTTGTATCAACTTCTGTATATATGCATATTTTATTCTTACAAAGTATACATTGTACCTGTTTCTTGGAATATTCTTGATTATGTAAAAAATTCTGAATTGTTTTCTGTGTCATCCATGAAGGGCACGAAGACAAACAGTCAACAATGTTCTCCTTTGATGGACCATCTGCAAGCACTTCAAGGCACTTCCAACACAAATAGTGACCGCAACTCTTTATTTTTGCCATCGCCTAGGGATATTAAATATCTTATATCATTGTTAATATGAATTAATATCTAAAGCAAAATGTATTTTATAATTCTTTTTTATGATATGAAATACATAATTTGAGAGTAATTTTGTCAAATCGTAATGGTTAGTTCATTCGTTCGTTTTTTATATTAATTTACATGTACTTTCTTAAGGGATAAAACAGTGTTTTATTGTGTTAAGATGCAATAGGAAAACCCAATTTCTCGATTGTTACCTACATTGTCTGACTTCGATACAAATGCCAAGTTTATGGATAATCGTTCCATTTATTTTTTTTTTAAATACAGCATCATATTCATGTATGGTTACTATTTACAACAGAATTACAGTTCTGATATTTTACAAATTAACATTGAATTGGCTACTAAAAATAATCATGGATTTTCAAAAATGGCGATTTTGAGCGATTATTTAGCTACATGTATAACCGAGTGGGATAAGATTGATGCGAGTATGAAAGAAATTCGAAACCAATAAATCGTCTTGGACACTGAATTATGTCTGTAGAAATACAGCACCACACTTATCATTCTTAAGAATTTACATTTTATGTGTTTTCCTACTAAGCTAAGTAAATTAAAAAAAATGAATTGACAACCGTTTTATTCTATTCTCACGTGTTTAAATATACACAGAGAAACTTACACTCATATGACGTAATAATGAGGCGACAGTGACTTTGTTAAAAATGCAACGATATATAGGGCAGAAAATATTGAGTATATTTAAGTTGCACTCAAACATGTAAAATTAAAATAAATGTTAGTAATATTTTTAAGCTTAATGTGAATTATTGGTGTGTATGTCAAAACGACTTGCACGTAGGCATATTTATACGTGACAGGTCTGTGTGATTCACACACCAATTACACACAAGAACTTCGCCATATTGCCCACTCGGATAATTCTATTACAAAAATTTAATGCCTTCATCAGAAGCAGGTGCTATCCAAAAAGCTCATATTAAGACAAAAAGGGAAAATCCACTAACATCCCGTCGCTTTTAAGATACATGCATGTCCAATTCATAAGGGTATTTACACTCACACCCTTGATAAGACCTGGATAACGAATTTATTTCCTATGAACCCATAACAATTCTTTGTAAACATAGAGTCTAATCAACTGTGTCTTAACCTATCAATAACATTTACTACGAACTACAATGCATCGTGATATCTTGTCATTTGCTTTTTATCATAGAGAAAATATGCATTGTGACGTTATATTTTATTTACCTTTGGTTTAAGTCTGGTGCACGGAAATTTACACCAATCAAAGCTCGTGTTACTAGCTACATAGGGAATAATGTGTCTTATACATGTACCCGGTGACATAATTTTTTATAAACGGTTTGGTGAAAATATATCACGTAAACTTGAAAGTTTGATTAGCATTTTCAATTGCTACGTAAACAAACATAAAATAAAAAAAAATCGTTTACCATGAATTTTGTTGTAAATTTACGAACTCCTTATATCCGCTGTTCACGTTTAACTTATCATGGCATTTGTAGTACAGGCTAATATTTACAACCTCAATAATAACTTTAAGAACATATTTCATAATAAATGAATACCTGGCCATGACTTAATATTCAAACTAAAACATGTCTGCATTCACTTGAAAACGTCCCATAAGACTTTATTTTGGTGCACTTGTTTTGGAATGTCTTTTTAAAAAAAATTCTTTGTTTAATAGTTTTGCATGTTGATAATTGTTGATAAGTCGTTCGAAATAATTTACCGTATAATCACAAGAGTCACAGTCACTGGAACCTTTGAAAGGCGATAGAACCTAAAATATAATTGGCATATTTTAAGAAATTTTGCATTCATTTATTATGAAAAGGTTTTTGTTAAGGTTATATATTCAAACTAATTACAAATCTTATACATCATACATATTTTACTCTCAATTCATCTTACTGGTAGAAGCATGCTTTCTGTTGACTTTACCAGAGCTGAGGGACTTGCAGTAACGTTTTCAATGTTTATTTCTAAAACAGAAAAAAATATCCGTAAGGGTCATATTTCAAACCAAATAGTGCTTTGAACAGGTAGAGAAAGTTCACATCCATAATATGACATTAAATGCAAACTCGTTAAGGACTGATGATACAAACATTTTTCATATAAAAGAAAGTAAAATCATCCTTATATGTTTGATTGTTTGCATGTTGTATAAAATTCCTCTGGAGAACTTTTTTACTTAAATGAAGACGCCACATCGCAGTGTAAAGCTGCAAATTATTTTGTCCTATACTTTGCACTTAGGACCATTAATTGAGTAGTGAGGGATCTTTTTCTGCCATGGGACCTCAGTTTATGCAATCTCAGTCGAAAGACATGTCTCAATGTCCCAGTTTGAACCTGCGGCATCAGGATAAACCACCCCCTACTCCTTACGTCTACTCTTTAACCACTGCGCTACGCAGGATACCCATGTTTATTTGAGTAAATTTAATGATTGATTGATTGTATACTATTTAACGTCCCTCTCCACAATATTTCACTGATATGGAGATGTCACCACTGCCGGTGAAGGGCTGCAAATTTAGGCCTATGCTCGGCACTTACGGCCTTTGAGCAGGGAGGGATCTTTATCATGCCACACCTGCTGTGACATGGGGCCTCGGTTTATACGGTCTCATACGAAGGACCGCCCCATTTAGTCGCCTTTTACGACAAGCCAGGGGATGCTGAGGACCCATTCTAACCCTGATCCCCACGGGGCAAGTAAATTGAATGAAATCAACCTCATTGATCTTCATTTTCTGTAGAAATCTTAATAATTTGATTCTTAGTGAGAAAAATTAGAACAAATCTCTAAGGGTGGATATGGAAAGATAAATTTCAAACTGCATAAAATGTTTACAATTTCGAAGTACTTGTAAAAATTTTTATAATAATTTGTAAGCAGTGAAGAGGTCTAAAATGTGAACGTTTACAGACGACAAAAGACGGACGACAGGCCACCGTACTCTCTTTATCAGAAAAGCTCACTTGCACCTTCGGCTCAGATGAGCTTAAAAGTAAGAAAAAGACATCTACAAACTAAATCAATCGCAATGTATTTTTATTGAATCAGATGACATAAAAATAGAAAATTGATTACCCTTGTCATTTATGATAATGTCTTGTCCTCTCACAATGCCAGCGACACTTTCCAACTGTACGGTATACGATCCTCTTTTATAAGGACCTTTCAAGAGTAGACTGCAGTTTTGACTATCATTTTGCATGGAAAAATCTTGAGAAGGTACCAATTCTTCCCCATTCTTGTACCACACTACGCAATCTACTGGCCATTCCGACTCGAAGACGGCCAAAATCTTGACGCGTGAGTTTTCCTCTCTCTTAGTAAAATCGACAATTCTAGGTGGTTCTGTGAAAGTATATATTACCATATTATAAAATAAATTAAATTAATACCTTATTCCTTATCAGGTTGAATTGATAACAGTCATTTCAAAAGAAATTACCTTCTTCGATTTTAAAAACAGCACCTCTACTCTCTACTGCGCCGAGTTTGCTAATTACATTTACTTTATATTCCCCTTCATCTCTCTTAGTAACATTCTTGATAACGAGTTCGAATTTGTTGTCTTTGATGACAGACTGTTGATACCTTGCATCAAGTTTAGTGAGAAGTATTTTTTCGTTTTTCATCCAAACACAGTCATTTATCTCTGCTTTCGATGAAGATGTTACATTTAGCCTCAAATTTCGGTGACATTTATCCACTTCTATTTTAAGAATTGGATACACAGGAATTCCTATTTCTAATAAATGAAAAATATATTATTGTTATTAATTTATTATGGATATATTTAAATGTTTTGGTTCTGTTTACACATACATGTAGTTAAAGCCTTTAAAGAATGAAAACAACTACAAAACTATTTGAAAAGAAACATCAAATATCAGGGACATATTGCATGAATATATGTATAAAGGTACAGAAGAAAACAAATACGTGTTTCTCTAATACCCTTTGAATGGATCTCACAGACATGTTTTTCTACCAAGACATAAAATAATTGTACCTTCTTGAAGAACTATTCTCTCAGCTTCGCTTCTTCCTGCAATACTTTCGGCAACTACTTTGTATATACCAGCATCTTTGACACCTGATAGTCTTATTCTACCTGTGCAAATTTCATTGGCATTGACATATTTTTCTTCCTTGTAGACAACAGTGTCATCCTTTTTCCATATTAAGCTTTTTATAGGCCACCTTGTCTTTTCAATAATTGCATATAAAGTAGTAAATTGTCCATCTCTGATCGGATTTTGGATGGTAACTTTTGGATCCTCTATAAAGAACATATTCGTATAAACTTTTACTGAAGTAAAGGAACTGTTATATTTGTTTTACAGTTATACCTCCCAGTCAGTATTTACAATAAAAAAAACAGAAAAAAAGATAACTTTCAACCAAATAATATTACATGTACCTGTTTATCCCCTATTTCTAGTAAAATTCAAATCTACTTGTCATCTTCATTTAAATAACAAATACTGAGTTTATTTCATTAGTTTTTTACTGATTTCATTACACTACCAATTGCACTTCAACTAAGTTCAAATAAGCGATATCGACTTTAAAAAAAAAAAAAATCCTATATCTAATATTCATTCAGGTACCTTACCTTACACAAGAAACAAAGACAAACAAAACTTGACCTGCTCTCTAAAGGATACGATATATCAAGTTAAGTGGAAAACAGTGATTTTTTTTTAAATAAAAATTCTAAAATGTTAACGTTTACACAACAGAAACACAAACATGCAAAATTGAAGTACTGACCCTTTTCTATTTCAAATGTTCTATAATTGCTCTTTACATCAGCTTTTCTACTTTTTGCTGTAAAGTAATAATTCCCTTCATCTTCTTTGCACACATCCATGATCACTAAAGTAGGACAATTTTCAGTTTCTGGATAACTTGCATACTTTTTCGAATTTTTGACAGGAAGGATTTTGCCATTTTTCACCCAAGTCACGTCCGTTAATATTTGACTAGATTCAATTCTTCCTTGTAGCTTTACGCGTTCATGGGCAGGAAAAATTTTCATATCCAAAGTGGCGAAAGATTGAACTGGAAAATATGTAAATGCATAAATCACTGTAAGAAATGAATGTCATCAATTAGTTATGATGATTGGACAATTTGAAAATTTACACACTTAATAATTAAAAGCTTTGTCTAGTTAGAGTTTCTTTCTCCCTTGTTCCTTCTCTCTCTCTCTCTCTCTCTCTCTCTCTCTCTCTCTTTTCTATTTGTGTAATTCTTAAGTAAAAAACATATGTATGGCAGAAATGTTCAGCAATTTGTAAAAAGGAATGTGATTACAACTGCCGTGTGTTCATTTTGTCATGATCGGGATAAACGAAAAAATCCTGAAAATCCGTAAACCAAGATATAGGTCTTGCTATCATGAAATTGTTACTTAACTCCAATGTAAAACATATAACTATATTTACCAAAAATATTAAGTTAGCATTATGTTGTTGGGTGTTTTCATTACTTTCTGAGGACTTGAAAAAAATAATTTCGATTTGATTTACTGATATCTTACATCTCTATATTTCCTTTTCCATGTTTTTGTTCACTGTGATAACTCTTGGAAAGTTAGCGGAGTTGATTTCTTGACAATTCTACCGGAATGAAAATTAGGCAGATCGATAGGTCAGGAGCGAAGGAGGCTTAATATGCATGCGAATCTTGTGCGCATTTGTGTCTGTGTCTGATGCTAAGGATCGAGGCCAAATACGCATGTAAATCTCGTGCGGCTGCCTTTGTGTTTGACATCGGTGGGCGAGGACTATTCAAATAGGCGTGGGATTCCTCGTGTAATTTAAATCTATGTCTACATTTTTAAAGTCTTAATCTACAATTTTATTTCATATTGAAATGGAAGTATAAGGAATCACTGTCTCGTTAGTATAGTATGCCAGGGACCTCAACGGTAGTGGGAAACGTGGGATAATTTAAGCATAACGGGCTTCGTGAGATATAACAGATGTATGAAACTTTACAATTTTTTTTTCAAGTTCAAATGGATACATCAAATCAACTTAGGAATAAAATTCAATATTTTAAAAAATAAAACCTCTTCGATATATCTAAACGATGAACTGAATGTCATAGGTAGAGAGTAAAATAGAAAAAAAAATAGTGATTACCTATTTGATATTATATAAATGGTGCCTGTTTTGGAGGTTAACAGTTGAAATTGACACCCCAAGGAAAATCATTGTCAACCGACGCGTCAGCGGAGGTTGAAAATGGTTTTCCGAGGGGTGTCAATTTCAACTGTTACCCTCCAAATCAGGCACCATTTATTTTATTATACTGAATGTCTTCTTGATTAACTATGTCAGCAATACAAATCGTCGATCGCCTTTTCGTTCACGTTTAGAAAGCTTTCAAAATCCCCGCTACTTCGAAAAAGATTTACTGACCTCTTTATTGTTTATTTGATACTCTACGAGTCCTTTATCATCTAAAGTTTCGTTATTTCTGCACTCGCAAGCATGTTTTGTCTGTCGTTTGTTGTTTTCAAGTAAGCTAAATCGGACGCAAGCTTTTATTGACGTCAAGTTTATTCCAGTTCTTTCAAACGCGCAACTGACGTTTTGAGAATTCTACGGTGAATTTCCACGCATGTGGCATTTCCGTTGTGTTACCCGTTGTTACGTGTGTTGCTAAGGCTGAGGGTAATAGAACAGATTGTTAACTGCGTCTATACCAATCAGATTTTAGTATTTAACATGAAAGTATAATAAATCAAAATATATACCTTCAAAGTTCAAGCGTAACACATTACTCGTACTGATACCAGCAACGTTTTCTGCACATACATGATAATCACCAACTTCACTTAAGTCAAAAATCCGTAGTTTAGCTAAGGCAGAGTGATTTCTTCCCAAGTATCTGCCATATACCGTTTCGGAGTATCTGTCGGATATTTTTAGCAAAGCTCCATCTTTAAACCACTTGACTGATGTAATGGGCCAATCAGATTCAATATCTGCTGCAAGATTGATAGAAATGATATCTTTCTTTCGTTCATTTAGCTTGATTTTTGGCCGATCACAATCTATATAATTAAAACAATATATCATTTAATTATAGTCAGAATATCTCTATGAAAAACCAGTTACATAAATTGAAATGGACAGGGAGAATTCAAACGAGACAAGTCAGGGTAAAATTAGCAGGAGAAAAATGAAATCATTTCAATTGTACTTTACCTGTCTCAATCTGAAATGGAACAATGTTACTTTCTCCTTTGCCGCCATCATTTTCTGCGATTAAATAATATTCTCCTTCATCTTTTTTTTCAACTGAATAAATTTTAAGCTCTGGGCTATCGTATAGAAAGTTGCATGAAAAATATTTGTTTGTATCGGAAATGTCAAGGACTTCTCCACTTTTCATCCAGGTCACAGATTTCCTCAGGTTGCCCGATTTAATTTTTGCACAGAATGTAACACTCTGTTCATGTTTGTTTACTGTCTTCTTCAGATACACGACCGGTGGTTCTTAAATGAAATAAGATATTCACCTGCTGTTACAATGTAAGTTAAGGGGAATCAATTTATCGAGGAGCGTATTAAGAAACACATTATAAAACACATTCTTAAACTAACATCTCTGCTTTAATTGAATTAAAATAAAACAGAAACAACCAAATGTATTCACTTTTTTAAAACTTACATGAACCGCGATTGAACCCGTACCTATATATACCTGGTTAACGGGGAACTCCATAGAACGTCCGAATATCGAACACTAAAAATGGTACTCGGTTACTCGGATGAACTTATTGTTTTCATTGTAAAGTTCATATATAGATGTAAAAAGAAATTTATTTAAAATATACATTATTTCAATGATTTTGCATTCAGTAATTAGCGCACCGTCGCATACAACTGTAACACACCCGATATAGCTTGTGACAGTGTATATACAGTAATTAGAAACCAAACACTTGGAACACGGCCATTCTTATCTATTGTGTTCTTAATTTTGGATGGCTTCAATGATTGATCTCACTAAACGTACAAGTGTTATTTTAAATCATCATTTAACTGGTTTGTTTGTATATGGTAGCGAAATCGAACATACATAGAAATGCCGAAACCCACTCAAAAAGTGAGCAGATATTTAAAAATACTAAAGAAAATACTATTGAATGCTTGAAAATATTTAAAGTCAGCTATATGCGGATTAAAGTTAGCATATAGGAGAGGTTGGTTGTTTGTACATGTATGTTGTTTAAGGTCCCTCACTCATATGGACACGCCGCTATCACTTGCTAGTGGAGAACTGTAAATTGTGTTCTATACTAAGCACTTATGGCCATTTGCGAGGGATCTTTTTTTTCTGCAAGCACCTACTGCGACATTTGACCACGGTTTAAACGGCCTCATCCCAAGATCTGGTACATCTGGTCTTCACCTACCACAGTGGGATTCGAACGCGCAACGTGAACTTCAACTGCTTACTTTACGATTCTTGAGCGGAAGCTTTAACAACTGCACCATGCCGGCGACCATATACGAGAGAAACTGTTTTCTTAACATTAAAAATATGAAATAATACCGTAACAAGCTACTGCAGTATCCCAACAACGCAACGTATTACAAAAGAATTGTAAACCACTTGTAAAAATTGATGTAGTGACTGATTTTATTTTTATCCTGATAAGTAAATAAATATATGTGAAAAAATCCATTTCGTTTGACTCGATGTTTAAAGCTGAGACGTATTATTAATGTTAAAGAAAACAGAGTATAGTTAAGCAAAGATTAACAAGACTTAAGAAAAGAAACACAGTGTATTCAAACTTTTTAACGAGTATCCTGGTGCTCGATCGGAAAAAGGTCCGAGTAAACTAGTATCAAATAATGATCGATTTGACATTGCTAGAATATTCATCGTATTTAGATGTTTTTTTTTTAACTTTACATACCTTCATTCAAATTCACATAAATTTCTTCACTCTCATCTTCTCCTGCCAAACTTGAAGCGGCACATTTGTAAAAACCTTTCACTTCTTTTTGAAAAGTATTCAGTTGGATAGTCAGAGAGAAATGATATCTTTCTTTGCGTGTTGGGTTGATTTCCTTCTCTTTCAAGTTTATAGTTTGACCGTTGTGCAGCCATGTCGTTTTTATCAATGGCCATTTTGAGTAAATATCTGCCTCTAATTTGGATAACCCAGGAAATTGCTCTTGTTTTAACGTTAGCTTTGGGGGATCTAAAGAGAAAAATAAGTCCTTTGAATTATTTTTAGCCCAACTTTAGGTTCTCTTTACGTCCAAGTACCTCGAAGATAAAGTATAAGGAATAATTATAACTTTTGGTTATATATTTTATTAAATAAGGATATAAGTATTCAATGATTATAGAAATTTAAAAACCTAATAACTAATCATTCGATAATATCATAACTGACTTACCATAAGGTATCCTGAATTTAACAAGGTTGCTCTTTCCTCTTCCATTACAATTTTCTACTAAAAATGCATACGTTCCTTCGTCTGCCTTATCTAGCGGTGAGATAACTAGGATAGACTCATCGGAACCACTGGAGATTTTGTATTTAGGATTAGACTTAATCCTTAATTCATTGTCATCTTTATACCAAACTCTATTTTCCACGTGTAGACAAGAAAAGATCTTGGCTTTTAAGGTAAGACTACATTCCTCCTCATTCAGTTCCGCATCCAAGTAAACATCTGGTGGAACTAAATTCGAAATTTTTTTATGATAAAAATGTTAAAAAGGATCCTTATTTTATCTTCTAATGGTTGTAGGCAACATCATCTAAGTTTGTTTTTGGTCATGGAACTGATTTACGATAATAAGCAACGTAGATACATGTACAGCAAATGATGCATGTATATGAATATTAAAACTGAAAAACAAAGCTAGAAAACTAAATCTTTAAACTTCGCGATTGATTATTTTTGAAATAACTATGGTATATTTAAATTTCATATTTTTTCTCTCGCCAATCTGAAAGTTTTTTTTAACGTAAAAATAGAAAAAAAAAAATCAAAAAGAGTATATAAGGATTTATTTCCGTGCGATTGTTGTATAGTAAATTTATGTATTATTGTTATTTTTCCTTTATTTCCCAAATTACAAGTAGTACATATAGGATTACTTTTTCGAGCAGGCGTTGTGAAAACACGAAATGTAATAAAAACACACATTTAATAAACCGGGATAATTGAATTTTTCATCGCTAAATTTTGTGTCTATATCAAGGCAGAATATAATTACGCAAAACTAAAAAAAATTATAGGAATATTACATTCTGCATTATTATATTTCTCATTGAGAACAACCACTTGTTTAAAAACAATTCCTAAGTAATGTTTTACTTTCATAAATATGTTATTTTAAAAAAAATAAAAATGTTTCTCCAGCTTTTCTTCGAATTTTTAATAAACATTCATATGATATATTTATCAATATCAAATTTTGAACGATCAGTAATGTTATTTGCAAAAAGGCTTGGTGTGACATGGCTCCTTAGGTAATTAATTTTCTGTCAAATGAAAAAAAAATGTTATAGTAAAATGTAACAAACCTTAAAGAATAGTTAAAAACATACTTACAATAATGATCTGTGGAATCTCTGCATTTGTCAGGCGTACTTGGTTGTTCTTTTATCTATCAAGGAAACGTTAACTGAATTAATGCATAAATTATAAATTTAGAAAAATATTCACAAAATAACTTACTTTTAAAGTATTTATTTTACAAAAAAAAAATGCAATTAATTTGTTCAGTAAAAAAAATATCATAGAAGGTAAAATAAGGTCCATGACAATACTAATTGAAATCTATGTTTAAACATAAAGAAGCTCTGAGCAATGACATAATATGCTTTCTGAACTTGTGGAGAATATTTTGTCATGATATGACATGTTCTTGTAGGGTTTATCTAGTTCAGTTACAGCAGCATACATTTAAATAATTACCCTATTTTCATTCCCACCCAAGAAGAATGTTATACATGTAGATAACGAAGTTGTGAACAGAAATCACCGTTGTTTACTTACTTTTGGAAGATATAATTTATCTATTCAATTTGTATAATTTGATGTTAATTCATTTTTAGAATATTCAGAATATTTTTCTTGAATACAGTGTGTATTTTCCTAAGGATTACAGTATATTAAATCTTCCATCTAAGGGAAAAGGATACTAACATAAAACAAGCAAATTCAAAGGATCAAAAATTTAGAGTACTTAGATATTGTCGAATCTTATGTATGTTTAGTATAACATCCCCATCCCTTCACGTAAAATTTTTTTTGTGACATACAGCCTAACAGACGGACAGAATGACATAGGAATTGAATGCCCCTTCGTTTTTGAAAAAGCGTCAGACAATGAGGGCTCTTCGATGAACAGTATTTAGAACTTAACACTTTCAAACCATTCTCAATACTGCAAAATGTGTGTTTTGTGTTTTGTACGATTAAAATGACTATCTTGTATAAAATTAATGACCATTTTAAACGATGCAATTAACGCAGTAAAGTATCAAGTGCAAAAGCATCAAGATAAAAAAATATACTGGTATTTAGAATTGCATTTATATTTATATGTATTTTGACAACGTCCTTAAAGAGACACTTTAGATTCAAGCCATTCGTATAGCTGGTAAAAACCCCTAATTATTCTAACTACTTTATTGTTTAAATTTATGAGTATTCAATCTTTACACAGGATTTTCTAATAATTTGCGCGTGTGCTAAATAAATAGTAATTGAAACTTCTTTGAAATAAAACTCGGACTTAAAACAAAATAAACCGGTATTATTTTCCGCTGCCGGTGTTTTATTTTGCATGCACATAGATATATTGAAACTTTCAGTAATCCCATGTTCATTTTCAAATTATATGTTAATTAAACATTAAAGACACCTTTAATTGCACAACAAATACGTAGCATATCAAATGTTCAGGTGTGGATAGAGATTTATTAGACGGGAACTGCTATTTTATCATGATGTTTAACATTGGTTGGATAAATTTTGAAAAACTAAATTTCAAAAATAATTTACTTTTATAATTAATCGGTTGATATCAAAGACAAATTAATCAGATATCAAATTTCTTAATAAAATATGCATAGAACACTTAATCCTTTTGAAAATTCCAAACAAAGTACGCAAATAATTTAATTAATTAAATGAACAAGAGGCGAATTTCAGTTTAATTGTTGACGGAGAGATTCAAAATACTTGTACCTAAACATTTTAATTTGAAAAGGGTTTAAAAATAAAGAAATTTAAACATTAGATTACAATAAAACTCATAAAATATAGAAAGGTTTTAAAAAAAATAGCGTCAGTGTCACTCAGGATTACCTCAGTAGCCACAGTATTAAACTTCCGAGCTACTCAGTATCAGCTCAGTGGCCTCAGAATGATCTCAGTATCCCTTAGTACCTCCTCAGTACTAACAGAGTCAACCTCAGTACCTCTCAGTATGTCCACAGAGTAAACAGTGAAAACTTCAGTGCTACTCAGGACTTCCTTAGTTTTTCAGTACCGGGCTTAGTACCACTCAGTACTTCCTCAGGGTTTTGTTGGATTCTCATTGTTTTTAGTTACAGTAGTATTTTTTTTTTACTGTAACCAAAAAGCACTGAGAATCCAACAAAACCCTGAGGAAGTACTGAGTGGTACTGAGAAAACCCTGAGTTGTACTGAGGCTACTATTGAGAAACTGAGTAAGTACTGAGTTGCACTAAGGTTTTCACTGTCCATTCTGTTGTGCCACTGAGGAGCACTGAGGTTAACGCTGTTGCTACTGTTGAAGTACTGAGGGGAACTGAGGTTTGTCTGAGGGAACTGAGCTGAAACTGTGTGATCATACTGAGGTTTTAACTGAGGCTACTGTGGACATACTGAGAGGCACTGAGGTGTTCAAAACAAAATAACATGAAAATAAAATAAGATAAAGAGTGGGCAAACAAATAATTGTTTTTTACCCATATCTTCCTTAAAGTATAACTATTTCTTTAATCTTTGATTTTCGGAACCACCAATTATATTCAATGACTTAGTATAAAATTCCAGTGCATATCTTTCATTTTATTTTCATATTCTCAAGTCTAATATTCAAGAAACCTTAATTTGCATGCATTTGTCTGCAATTATTGTCTGTAACGATAAATATTGCTACACTAGGTATTATTTTTTTTTTTATAGAAAATAGAATTGTTAATATATATATATTTGACATAATTTCTTTGTAAGACTACTCTCGCATGAATTGGAAATACTTGATATTCTCAACTATTTGATATGGTGTGTGTCGACCTTATTTGAATCTCATTTCATTTTATGAGTTAAAATTGTATTTTGCAGTGAATTGCGGGAGTATTTAAAACTCCTTGATTTTCCAAATGTCTCTTATTTTTACTGGTTATTTCTTTTTCTAGGGAAAAAAAGAGTTTCTCTAGTCTTCTTTTTAAGCTAAGCTGGTATAAAACGATTATCTAATATTTTGCTATAATAACTAATTTTAACTGCGTTGTATTTGTTTTCTGTAAACGATCAAAATTGCAGTTATAATTACCACATATGTTTATGATATAGGGTAAAAAGGACAACAGGTATTCCAGGGAACTTGAAGACAAACATTTGGATCGTGACATCAGAACAATGTATTTCCGTATAATTTTCTTTGAAATATTGAAATACTATATGGTGTCTTCTAGGTTCCCTTGAAGGTAATAATCAAGCTGTGGCTTGACACAGGAGAAACTAGAAACAGTCATTTAATTACAAAATGAAAGTTCCGTCTTAACATATGTTTTAATTGGTTAAAAAGCATTTTCTTGACAATGCATATTCTAAAAAAGATATCAAAAGACTTTACTTAAATTTCACATGAACTTAATTTGTCAGCTAGTTTAAATCTGTCTATTCTACAAAGCAAAGTTAAATTAAATCAACTGTAAATTTTAATATTCTATTTTCTACAAAGTTGTATTACATGTATGAAATTAAATAGAAATTGATATAGAGAAGCTTATTTCATAGAAACATAAATTAAAATCATCGCAAATTAATCAGGTAAGTTTCAATCAATGCGATGCCCTCGTAGTCACGGGCACCTGTCCGCACGTGTCATAAGTGGGGACACGTGTCGTGAAGACACCTGCTACTGTGTTAGTGTATTTTTTGTATATTCTATGTGATTTGGGAGGGATTTCGGCCCAGGGGTAACATTTGGCTGTGTTAAACGGTGTATACACACCACTGGCGTAACATCCTTACAAAGAGATTGCTAGTCTTCATTAATAAAGGCTGATTTAAACATTTGATAAAATTAATCTAGATAAAAATATTGATAAAACTATCAATATATATTTAATGAGGAAATTTTCTTTTATTTCTTATTTTGCGAGTCTCCGGCGCCTTTAAATAACTGGAACCTGTGACTAGGGGAAGGAAAACCCCAACAGAAAACCACCGGTCCTCCGGGTCCAGGGGGTTTTGCATAGGGTTAGCAGCCCTTTCATGTAAAAACTCACATTGCTACAGAAACCAGAGCAACAGAAGAAGAAATCCAACGCTTAACTCAGGGAGAAGCCTCACCTAGAGGCCGTAAGACGCAGACTGGTGAAAGCCATATGGAAACCAGTCAGCCGAAGGTTCTCCTGACGATGAAAGCAGCAACAAGAATAGGAACCTGGAACGTGCGAACCATGTTTGAAACTGGAAAGGCAGCCCAGGTAGCCAGAGAGATGAGGAGATACAACATCCAAATACTTGGAATATGCGAGAGCAGATGGAATGGAAGTGGCATGTCTTCATTGACTAGCGGTGAAAAGATCATATACTCTGGACATGCAGATGAAAATCATGAACACACTGAAGGAGTCGCCATCATGATGTCACCAGCTACTGCCAATGCACTGATTGAATGGGAACCAATCTCATCAAGGATTATGACAGTAAGATTCCACTCCAAAGGAAGGGAAGTAACTGTAATCCAATGTTACCCACCAACAAACACTGCAGATGAAGAAACAAAATAAGATTTTTACACAAAATTGCAGGCAACAGTGGACAAGACACCAAGGCGAGATATGAAAATCTTGATGGGTGACATGAATGCCAAGATAGGTTCAGACAATTCCGGGAAAGAACTCATCATGGGTACCCAGGCACTTGGAAACATGAACGAGAATGGAGAGCTGTTCACAGATTTTTGCGCTTTCAACGACCTTGTGATAGGAGGAAGTGTCTACCAGCACAAAAACATCCACAAAGAGACTTGGATTTCCCCTGATGGAAAAACCAAGAACCAGATAGACTTCATAACTATCTCAAGGAGGTGGAGACGCAGCCTCCTTGATACAAGATCAAGAAGGGGGGCCGATGTAGCTTCAGACTACCACCTAGTACAAGGCACTATAAAAGTCAAGTTGAAAGCCTTCAAGGACAACTGTGACAGACCACACATCAAGTTTAACACCCAGAGACTTCAGGAAAAGGGCACAAGAGACACCCTTAGCATTTCACTGAAAAACAGATTTGAGGTCCTAAACAATGTCTGTCAAGAAACTCCACTAGAAGAACACTGGAACTTCATCAAAGACAAATCGAACGAAACACGTGAAGAGATCCTAGGGAAAAGAGAAA